GCAGGACTATATTTTTCTATTGTTAATTTGTCAAACTTGACCAAGGCATATCAAGTCGCGATCTCCATGTACCCCTTATTGCCTCTTATTTGCAAAATCCTCCTATATACCCCTTATTGCCTCTTATTTGAAGGGAAGGACCGATAGTTGGGTTGATGATGATCGAAGATATGAAACTAGTTGAAATGCAACCACTTCCCTAAGACTCACTCCAATAACTTCTTTCTAATTTCCATTTTTTTTTTTTAAGCAAACCAATAACAGAAGATGAAAACACTTGTTGTCACCTAGTTCTGTTTTATTATTAGATGCAGATTATGATGGAATTATCTCTAGTATAATATACAGAATTTAAAACTATAGAATTTGTGTATCCTGCGGCAGGGAGTTTCTTTGGGCAAAACAAAGCCTTGCTGCCATCCCCTCTCTAATTTTCGTTCTTGGAATAGTTTTGAGATATGGAAATCAATTTGTTTGATAATGAGAGTGCCAGATATTGGGTAATTTACGCCAGAGGAAGCTCGGCAGCCGTGGGACGCAAGTTAAAAGGCATTCCATGTGGAGGTGGATGATAGGCGCATGCTGCCATAGTACCATGCCAACTTAGTTTAGTTTTCTAGATGAATCCCGATGTTAGGTTTCGATTCATTTTTCCAACTTTATCCCTCTTTCACATTCATTCTCTTCGTTCGCCTGTGTAAGTCGTTGCTTATAAATGTTAGGTTTCGATTCATGTTTCCAACTTATTCATTTTTCCAACTGTTCCTTCCTTCACATTCATTCTCTTCGTTCGCCGGTGTAATTCGTTGCTTATAAATGTCAGGTTTCGATTCATTTTTCCAACTAACATTATGCAAGTATTATCCAAGTAGCATTATGCAAGTATTCACACGGCATCTCCACAGTGTTAGTGTGGCCAAGTGATATTAGGAAGTTTCTAATGCTATTTATTTTTTTATATCTTTTAAAATTATTTTTGAATTAATTATTTAATTACTTTTAAAAAAATTTTAAATTGTTAATTTTCGAATTTGTAAATTTAAAAAATTTTAAAAGTCTTCAAATTTGTAAATTTAGAAACTATTAAAAATCTCTAAATTTATAATTTTGGAAGTTTTTCAAAATTTTTTGATTTATATATTTAAAAACTTTTAAAATTTTCTATTTCTAATTATTGAAATTAAGAATAAATTTTAAAATTTCTCAACAATAGTTTTTGTTTATCAATTTGAAAATAAACTTATAATTATTTAAAATAAATCATATTTTTTATAATATTATGAAAATTCTTTAAGATATAAAATTTTTTTCTCAATTAAATTTTTTTCCTAAATCTTAAATATAATTTTTTAAATTTAATGAATATAAATTTGATAAATTATAAAATTTATTGAACATATATATTCAAAAAATTTAAAATTAAAATAAAAATAATTTAATAATTTTTTTAAAAAATAAATTTTAAAAAAAATGAACGTGAAAAGAAAAAATTATGATGCAAATAGATGCAAGGTCTTTCAGACCGTCTCTTCAAGCACTTTTGATAGGGGGCCCTTTGCTCCCCTGGTCAATTTTCGCTCTTTACTCTCCCACATACAAGAGATGCAAACAACCAGTAACCATCGAAGCGAGACTCTTATTTTGGCTTTGTATAAGATATATATATATATATATATATATATATATGTATCCATTTGTTTGACCATCGATTGCCAGAATCCAGATGTTGGTTAAATTTATAACGGGGGAAGATTGGTGGCTGATGGAAGAGTCAATATTCCGCACAGATTGCACTTTAAACCTCCAAAAGTCCTTCGTTGGCCCACAGGACTATATTTTTCTACTGTTAATTTGCCAAACTTGACCAAGGCATATCCATGTACCCCTTATTGCCTCTTATTTGCAAAATCCTCCTATATACCCCTTATTGCCTCTTGGTTGAAGGGAAGGACCGATAGTTGGGTTGATGATGATCGAAGATATGAAACTAGTTGAAATGCAACTACTTACCTAAGACTCACTCCAATAACTTCTTTTTAATTTCCTTTTTCTTTTAAGCAAACCAATAACAGAAGATGAAAATACTTGTTGTCACCTAGTTCTGTTTTATTATTAGATGTAGATTATGATGGAATTATCTCTAGTATAATATACAGAATTTAAAACTATAGAATTTATGTGCCCTGCGCTTTGGGCAAAACAAAGCTATGTTTCTTTGTTCTCCTTTTTTCAAAACTTAGGTTAGATTTCTGCATCAATCGTGTGCGATCATTTTTCCAATTTTGTCTTAATTAATTTTGTCATTCACTGACGTCAGCAGCAGCTTCAGCTTTTGACTGAGGCAATAACACACGTGCATATGTCGTATGTGAACAAGTGGCGCTTCACTTATGCTTCACATTTTTCTAAAGCACTTCATGCCCTCGGAATTTAAATAACTTTAAAATTTTAAACTTACAATAATTTAATAAGAAAATGATATAAAAATATAAAAGTAACACAAATTAAAATTTTAATAAAATTTATATATTTTTTATATAAAATATCACATAAATACATAAATTACCATATTTACATCTCAATCGTATAATTGCCCCACCTGGATCCACGGCACAAGCGCACAAGTTAAAATTGATGGTTAATTAAATTAATCATATGACAAGTTGGTTCGCTTGCATATTTATGAGAACGTAAATCTTAAAATATAGCTAACAAATTATTTTTAATAATTAAGGTTTTGTATATAATTACAAAAAAATTTTGTTTTTCAACTTTGGCTGATTTTACATGAATTTTGGTTGATTTATTTTTATGAAAAATTATTTTTATCTAATTAATTAAAATATAAGTTTTAAATATTTATTTTTAAGGACTTTTATAGTTTTAACTTTATTCATTAATAAAGTAGTGCTTATAAAGATATCACGTAATCACAATGTATCAAATATAAAACATTTAATTATTAATTTTATTTTAATTTTATAAGTTTAAATTATCTTTTAAAATCTTTTATCTTTATTATTTCAATTTTATATAATTTTCAATGTTATCCTTCTTAATAATGATTAAACAAAAAAATTATATTTATTATTATAATTGAATTGAATTTTTATGTTTATTAGATATTGTAAATAAAGTTTTTTATTTGTCTTGTTATTAACGTGACAGATACATGCAAAACTAGAAGACAACTAATTTCTATATTAAATTATTTTTCTCAAATTTATTTTTTCAATTTAAATTGATTCAATCTAAATCCAACTTGACTTGCTCGATACAATAGTTGACTTTGAAAAGTTATTTTGAAGAAGTCTATACATTAATATTTTGTTGTGTTTTTATCATCAATCAATTCCACAAAATTATAAGAAAGTTGTAGCAGGTGAATCTTAATTTTAGTATACTACTTATTGGTTAAAAAAAAATCGTTGTTTAAACAATAATATCAGTTTAAATTATTTTATTTAAGAGCCAGTAATATATTTTATTTAAATTTATTTTTAAAATTTTAATATTTTAAATTGAGTATAAAATTAAATAACTTTTAATTAAAAATAATTTAAATAAATATCAACCATAAATTGCAAAAACGATTGTTCATTTTATACTGTACAAGCTTGTGATCTAAAAAAAAAAACCTAGTAAAGTAAAAAAACAATGGTAAAACCGACATATGACCTGCCTCCTTGACGAGGTAATTTCTTGTTGATTAATAGATAAGGCATCATCCAATTAATTTTAACGGAATATGATTCATCCATCAAATCAAATTTTGGACTGTTGAAATCAGCAGTACTGCCAAACACGCAATAACTACGGCGCTTTGACTAAAACTTAATCACTCAAAGATTCACACGACAAAACTAGCATTATCCAAGCATTCACACGTCATTTCTAGAACGTCACTAGGGCCAATGCTATCCATTTTTTTATATTTTTTAAAAAATTATTTTTGAATTAAATTTTTTTATTTTTAAGTTTTTGAATTTGTAAATTAAAAAATTTTTTAAAATCTTTAAATTTGTAAATTTAGAAAATTTATAAAATTTTGGATTTACAAATTTAAAAATTTTTAAAAATTTTTGGATTTATATATCTAAAAAGTTTTTAAAATTTTCTGCTTCAAATTTGTTAAAATAAAAAAAATCTAAAGATCCATACGCAGAGTTTTTATTTATTAATTTATAAATAAACTTATAATTATTTAAAATAAATCAGGTTTTACTTTATAGTATTATGAAAATTCTTTAAGATATAAAATTTTTTCTTCAATTGAATTTTTTCTTAAATCTTAATTTTATTTTTTTAATTTATTGGATATGAAAATGTAATAAATTATAAAATCTCCTGAACATATATTCTCAAAAAAAATTTAAATTAAAATAATTAAATAATTTTACTTAAAAATAATTTTTAAAAAAATAAATATGAAAAAAAATGATTAACATAGAAGCACTCTTATTCAAAATTTGGCTTTATAACAACCTTTTTCTTTCTTATTCATTGGGGGTATTTTTCTTAAATTTATTCTTTGCAGAAAAATTTATCAACGATTCGTTATCTTCACCTAAAATTTTGTTTTCATTCGTAATTTTAAAAATTGTTTTCATGAATCTTTAGTTCTACTTTAAGAATAAATGGTTCTATCTTTTTTTCTGGTAGATTTTAGTCGTGCAATGGGATTTGGTCAAGAAGAGTTGGGAGTTGGAAAAACTTCCTATTTTGGGTTCGCATCAATTGAAAAACATATTTACGAAACAAACAAACCAAACCCATAAATTCAAAATATTTATGAAGTTACTGCACATGAACAAAACCCCATATAATAAACGTAAGAAAAACAGACAAAAGCTGTCTTTATTACAGGACAAAGATCTGAAAGGAACAGATCGTACCTATACTATAAAGGAAGAGACACTAACCAGCCTTTATTTAACGCAGAATATAGCTAATCATATATATATATATATATATGATGTATGTATGTATATACACTGACATGTACATTGCCTTATGCCACGACATTTAGTGCAAAACACAGCCTTGATGGACTCCTTCGAAAGCTCCAAAGCTGTACAACAGCATGAGTTTTGGCATTGACTTTTAGGGCTTCTGCATTCCTTTCTTTGACTTCATTCCATTTCCCACCCAACACGTAACAAAACGTTTTGCTCATTCTCCACTTTTTTAGCTTCAGACTAGTTTCTTCAATTGATGGGTCTATAATCATCACATCTATGCCTTGATTTTCTTCGAGCTTGTCTTTTTCATCTTGCGTAAGAAAATCAGCGTTGACTTGACGTTCTGGAATAGAGAAGCGGCCCTGTTGTGAGCTTAAATCGGAGTGGGTAAGCTCTTTTTCTATCACCAGAGCGAGTTGTTGAGGACCATACTTGTTTATGATGAGTTCCACGAGTTCTTCTGGTGGGGTTGGGCTGCTTAACTCTGATGATTTGAGCCCAGTAGTATTCTTAATGTTTCTAATTTTCTGCCTCTTGGAATCTCCCATCCATGGTCTTTTCTTTTTGTGAGACTGAGAAGGAACGTTGAATGTTCGCTTCTTTCTCATCCCTGATCTCTTCTTTTTAGGTACTTCATCAAAGATGGAGAAGACCCGTCGGTCCACAACGCCTGATTCGTCGCGGCTGCAGCTTCTTCTCGTCATCACCTTAGTCACAAATTTCTTCACGACAATTTTTGTCACCTCCTTCATCTGCTGTTCCTTGTCTCCAGTAATCTGTTCAACTTCCTTCAGAATTGCTTCAAACGAAGCACCATCCCAATCGCTCGAACTTTTTTGAAGCCTTGCCGCCATGCCCTCTCTAATTATTTTTCTTGGAACACTTTTGAGAAATATATACATTTTTTGTTATCAGATTGACGGCCATGTGGCAATTTATAAAGGGCAAGCTTGGAAAAGTTGCTGCCCGACTACAAAGTATAAACAAGGACATTTCTTGCTTAGCACTATATTTTTCTATTGGTAATTCGTTCAACCTGACCAACGTATATCTGGCAAAGTCCTAATCCACTTGCTGTGGGAGGGCAAATTTGTCTGTTAATTTGAAGGGGAGGAATGACGCGGACAACCGGAGTCAAGATTTCTCATTAGTGGAGACAAATATTTTGATTTAATTTATTATAATCTTCATTGAACAATAAATTAATGTAAAAAATCTCAAACAAATTAACATGTAAAACAAAATTTTTTATAAAATACAATTTTTTATACTATAGATATAATATTTATATAGCTAAAATTAACTATATGATGATTGATAAATATAACTTAAACACTATAATATCATAAATAAATCATATTTCGACATAAATACATGCAAATGCATATATGTGTATATATTTATTTAATAAAATTTTACTTATAGAATTTTTAAATATATGAAAGAATAAAAATCAATATTTCTAATTTTATCATTTACTTTCATTTGAAGAATAACAAATACTTATTTTCTTATATAACAAATACTTATTTTCTTATATACAATGAAAACGATATGTTTTATATATATATATATATATATACACACAATGAAAACAAAAATGAAGATATAAATTTATTGTTATTAAAAATTGTTCTTTAATTTTTATTCTTATTAATTCACTCTTTATATATTATCTATATAAACTTAAAAAAAAAAATTTTCAAAATTAATGTATATATTATAATAAAATTGCTCATCACCCAACATATAAATGTTCAATTACTAAATAAACAATAAAATGTTTTCTTTTATGATTTTTAAATATGATAAAAAAAGTTTTGTGGGTACAAAGCATGAATTTTTAAAATTTATGAGATTTTTTTATAATAAATTTAAAGAATTTCGTATTAGCTACCCATCAACCCCATATACAAATCTAAGTTTTAAATTTGTTTTGAAACCTGATTTTCCAAATAAATAGATTTTACTTTTCTTCTCTTTAAAACTTGATATTCAACTGTATACATAAATCTAGTAGTTCAATTGGTTTTACTATACGTGAAGCACGAAGTGACAAAGGAACATGGTATATGCCTCCCCTAGCAGCTCAAATTCACAAACCCCTTTTTCTCCCATATGCCTTAAGACTTTTTAACACAAATCATTTTCAAACTAAAAGAAAAATTGCATAACTTAACACCTTTTTAATTCAATTTTCCAAACGCGTAGGCTGACCCCATTTTATCTGTTCCTCCGAAAAGATAAGCTTTGAACCGACCAACTGCAACAGCCTATTCAATCTCCATGAAAACTATACATGCCTTCAGTCAGCCGAATATTGAAATACGAGAATATTAAATATGATCTTAGGGGGATATGTTTGTCTTCATAAGGTAATCATGTTGCCTTTGAAATAAAAGTGAAAAGAACTAGGATGATTAATTGCTTTTAATTAACTACACAGTCCCTGATTAATTGATTTGACCGGATTTGAAAGGCTCTATTGTTTTCCATCTTTCAACTGCATTTGGACATTTTTGACATGGATGGAAGTTTCGATGTACCCCACCACTTATTGCTTCCAAGACTCGGGTCTCTCTCCCTCCCTTTTCCTCTCTGAATTTTTCTAATAAAAATTAGTATTTCTAATTAACATTCTTGTGCTTTCAAGTCAGCTTGTTTTATTGCTGTGTTTCCTTTCTTTTTCCTTTGCCTCTCAGTATGGCAACCAGAATATCTAACGCTTATAAACATTACCCACGACCTTGCTTAAATAAATGAATAAACCATACTTTGAGTGATTTCAAGAAATGACTCATTTGAACAATAGGGGCCTTCTTTTGAGACCAATAATGTTGAATTAAACAAACTTAGGTTCTAGTTTTTTATGTCAATTTAAGCAAACAAAGCCTTGAGAATATCAAATTAATTTCAGAATCTGATCTGTAATCTTGTGTACAACTTTTCTTCTTCCTCATCTGAAACTTTATAATTTCATTCAATCTTGTGGAATAATTTCAGCATTTGTTTATCTTTTTCGATACAAAGTTACCTCATTAAAAAGGTATTTCAATGTCTTTTAAAAAAGCATAGATAGACTAATATATTTACTTAATAACAACCATAGATTTTTAGTATTTGAAATTTTTATGAATTAAATACGAATTAAATTCTTATCATTGGATTTTATCGACATAATTATCACTTTACTATTAAACACATTGAACAACTTTTTCAATTTAAAAATAAATTCATTAAATAATTTCAATAAAAAGTTTAATTTTAAACCGTGATTTTTTTATATTCTAATAGAATCAATAACACTATCCCCACTTAATCAGGTAACTCAATTTTTAAACAAGTCAGATAGTCATTAATCTTGAATGTAATTATGGTAATTGGAGTGAAATACTAGGATAATTTAGACTTAAATTGAAATAGTTGAGAATTTTGAGAAAAAGGGGAGAAGGGGAGAAGGGAGAAAACATAAGAAAATAAATGTTAGAATAGGAATGTAATTGATTGAGTTCGAATCAATATAGCATTAAATTCGAGTTCAAATTTGATTTCAAATTTAAAATTTAAAACTCTGCTTAAATTTGATCAAATTTTATTATTTTAATTCAAGATTGATTCGAAATAAAAATCGAATTATTCGAATTTACTCAATTAATTTTGATTAATATAAAAAAATAAATTCATTTTTATATTTGATAAAAATTTAATTATTATGCTAAAATTTGAGATATTTTATTAATTAATATAATTAAAATATATTAAAATATAAAATTTTGATTAAATTCAAGAGTAAATTGAATCGAATATAAAAATATGTAAATTTAATTCGATTAATAAATTAAGTTATTCAAATTCGAATTCGATTCAATAATAATTAAATAAAATTTAAATTTTATTTAATTTTAATTAAATAATTTATAAATATTAATATATTATTTACACTTTTAATCAACTGCAAGATAAACTAAAAAACCAAGTAAAGAAGAAAGAGGGTGCACTAGGAGAATTCGTTCCTAGGTCAAGATCGCGGGCAAGACCAATGGATGTATGTTCGAGTGAATCTCGAAGCTTGCTCTCCGAAAGCAACTTTTTGTGGCCTAGCACATCAATCTATGGAGGTTGAATTCCAACATCCAATGAGAATAAAAGGTGTAGGCTTGGAAGCAAGCGTTTGTTGGGTGTAGAAAAAATGTGACACTAAAAAAAATGGATTTACCTTTCTTGCATTATTATTAATAAATCAAATAATATTATTTTATTAATAAATTAAATTAAATGATATTATTTTATTAATGAATAAATTTTTTTAAAATATTAATTTTTTATTTATTTATTTTTAAAATTAATATTTATTTATAAATAATATTACTATTTTATTCATTGATAATATATATAATTTTCATACCGATAATACATCGAATAAAAACTCTAAAATTTCTCTCCGTATTAAAGTTTATCTGTTTCCCCAAATCTCATGTCTGTTTCTTTATATTTCTTTCTTTTATTGTTTTTTATTAAAGGTCGGAAAACGATTTAAGAGGAGAGAGAAATAAAAATGTCTCATAAAAAGTCCGAATTCTATTAAAAAAGACAAATCAAAACAATTCAGTTAGCCCCTTGCCTATTGGCTAAGGAGGCCATAGAGGAATTTGAGGACTATGTCCTGCCCTTACTGTGGACAGAAAAAAAAAAATGCAATTCAGTTACCTTCCCTTTTTTCACTTTTACAGTAATAAAAGGAGATAAAGTAGAAACCCCACTTAAAAAATTCCTATTTTGGGGGTTCTCATCAATCGTAAACCATGTTTCAGAACTGAAGAACATAAACAAACCAAACCCAAAAATCCAAAATATTTATGAAGCTGCAGCACATCAAAATAAAAACCCCACATAATAAACATAAGGAAAACAGACAAAAGTTGTTTTAATACGACACAAAGATCTCAAAGTAACAGATCATACCTATACTATATATGAAGAGAAATTCTAACCTAATGTAGAATTTCCCTTGGATTTCACCAGCCAGCATTTATTCAAAGCATAATAAAACTAACCATATGTATGTAGTGCCTTATCCACTCATTCCTATGCCACCACATTGAGTGCAAAACAAAGTCTTGATGGGTTCCTTCGAAAGCTCCATAGCTGTACAACGGCATGAGTTTTAGCATTTACTTTAAATGCTTCTGCATTCCTTCCTTTAACTTCATTCCATTTGCCACACAACATATACGAAAAAGTTTTGTTCATCCTCCATCTTTTTAAAGTGAGAGTAGTTTCTTCAAACGATGGGTCTATAATTGTCACATCTATGCTTTGACTCTTTTTGAGCTTGTGTTTTTCATCTGGCTCAAGAAACTTAGCTCTAACTTGAAGTCTTGGAATAGAGAAGCGGCCCTGGTGTGAGTTTAAATCAGAGTGGGCCAGATTTTTTTCTATTACCAGAACGAGTTGCTGAGGGCCATACATGTTTTTGATGTGTTCCACAAGTTCTTCTGGTGGGGTTGGGATGTCTGATGAATTGAGCCCAGTAGTATTGTTAATGTTTCTAACTTTCTGCCTCTTGGAAACTCCCATCCATGATCTCTTCTTTCTGGGTACGTTAGCAATGTTGAGAAGGACTCCAACACCTAATTCGCCGGGGCTCCGGCTTCTTCTCATCCTCACCTTATTTACAAAATTCTTCACGACAATTTTTGTCAGCTCCTCCATCTGCTCTTCCTTGTTTTCAGTAACCTGCTCAACTCTCTTCAGAATTGCATCAAACGAACCATCATCCAAATCCCTCAAACTTTTTTGAAGCCTTGCCGCCATCCCCTCTCTGATTATCTTTCTTGGATTGGTTTTGAGGTGTATATCAATTTGTTAGATATTCAGATTGCCAGATGCTGGCGAGGTTTGGCTGCTTTAAAGAGCATACCAAGGCGAATGGTGGGGGTAGAGAAAAGTCCCTTGTGACGCAAGTTAAAAGGCGTTCCATGTTGAGGTGGATGATAGTGATAGCCGCATTTTTACATGGAAGGCAATTAGGGGTTGGATTATGATGATAGTGATAGCTTCATTTTTGCATGGAAGGCAATTAGGGGTCAGCAACTTGGATTATCTTCTGCTTCTAAGAATGAATATTAGAAATGGATAACCATTCAATAAGTACCTTTGATTATTTTCATAAGCACCACCCTAAAGGAAAATATAAAATTAATAGAGTAGTTGTTTGAGTTCAATATTGGAATTTGATTTGCCAGGATTTGAAAGGCTCAACCTTTTCCCATCTTTGACATTTTGACGAGGATGGAATTTTGACGTACCACACGTCCAGCCCCATGGCTTTAGTCCAGCGCCGCGTGTCCTTACAAGAAACGGAGCCCTAAGCGATGGAAACTGTGTTAAGGTGTGAAAGAGAAAATAAAGAAGCGAGAGAAAAGAGAGAAGGGAGAATTGATTGATAATCTATGATTTAGTGTTTTATATTTCAAACGGTGAAAACTGAATTTGAAATTTTTTATGAATAAATTTAGGATGTTTTTGTTGAGTTATTTATTTGATAAAATTTTTTTAATTATCTCTTAAATTATTGATTAATTTTAATTTTAATTAAAAAAATTTTCATATATTCATTATTTGATAATAAAATTTTTTTTTATAATTTATAATTTTTGTTATATTAAAAGTTTTTTCACATAGATTTTTATGTATTGTATTTTTTTGTATTATTAATTATTATTTATTGTGGATCTATTGGAATATATTATTTTTGCCATGTTGCATTCGTGGCTTCAGGCCCAACGCCGCACCACTCATTGCGTCCAAGACTCTCTCTCCTGACCTTTTCCTCTCTGACTTTTTCTAATAAAAATTAGTATTTGTAATTAACATTCTTGTGCTTTCAGGTCAGCTTGTTTTATTGCTGTGTTTCCTTTCTTTTTCCTTTGCCTCTCGGTATGGTAATAAGGACGTAATCAAATCGAGTTAATACAATAAAAAATTTAAATTTGAGTATGATTTATAATTTATGATTCATGATTCGATATTGTTTTCGATCAAATTTTATTTTTTAAATTTGGGCTCAATTCATGATTGAATTCGAACTACTCGAGCTCACTCGATTAAGCTCGATTAATATGTAAAAATAAGCTCGATTCATATACTCGATAAGAGTTTGATTATTTATGCTCGAGTTCGAATTCAAATTCGAAATAATTTATTAATTAAAATAATAAAATTTTATTTAAATATAAAAGCTCGATTAGACTTGTGAGCTACTCGAGCCAGATATAAAAATATTCAAATTCGGCTCGATCGATAAGTCGAGTTACTCGAACTCGAGCTTGACTCGATAATAATCAAATTAAATTCAAATTTTCTTCGAATTGAACCCGAATAACTTACGAGTATTAATATATCATTTACATTCCTAATGATAATCAGAATACTAACGCTTATAAACATTACTCACGACCTTGCTTAAATAAATGAATAAACCATACTTTGAGTGATTTCAAGAAATGACTCATTTGACCTATAGGGCCTTCTTTTGAGACAATAATGTTGAATTAAACAAACTTAGGTTCTAGTTTTTTATGTCAATTTAAGCAAACAAAGCCTTGAGAATATCAAGTTAATTTCAGAATTTGATTTGTAATCTTGTGTACAACTTTTCCTCTTCCTCGTATGAAACTTTTTTTTTTTTGCCATCAAAATCCGAAAATAGATAAGTTATTTAATTTTTTTATCAAGATAAAATGTATCATATCTAATAATTTAAAACAGATAATTTCAAGTCGTACATTCGATATGATCTTAATAAATTATCATCGATAAAATTTGAATCTAAAATTTTTTCATCGAAAAAAATAACTTTAATAAATTAAATTAATTATTTATTAATATCATCTAAAATTTTATGATTTTATTATTTTCATCTTGTGAAATAATACTGAAATCTTGATAAAAATTTTATCGACAAATCACATAATTATCGGCGACAACAACTATCACTTTACCATTAAACACATTTAATACCCTTCCAATATAACAGCATATCAGCAACATAATACTCTTTCATTTCCTTTCTTTTTGGTCAGAGGAGTAGGGGACCTGAGCAGGGACAGGAGGTCTTCAAATGCAATCATGGACGATGTTTTATCAACGAACAGTCTGTGATCTATCCGCCAACCGCATCCCACCGCCATTCCGTATTCAATTGTATGAAATGTGTACAGATTATTGGACAATTGAGAATTAATTGATCAAAGTGCAAAGTAGATGCGTCAGTACTTCTATAGCCATTTACAAGAGTTTCTAGATGTTTCAAAAACAAAATCCAACCTATTATCACTGTTCACACACTCAAATTTTACTGTTTCCAAATACTTTTTTAGTTTGATACGTATTTTTATTATTTTTTTCACACGTTTATGTTAATATTTAAAATTTTACAATGTTAATATTTTATTCATTTACATGGATTTATATTTTTCGTTGTCCTCTTTTAAGTTGATTATGACATTTTTTTTTATCCTTATTCTCACGCATTCACGTTAAGATTTTAAAAAAAAAAAAACAGTTATTATTCCAATTACAACTAAGAGGTCCAAAACTACTAAGAGGTCCAAAACTATACTTCTAATAAAAACTATTCCAATTACAAAAATCTAAATGCGTATGTCAGTCCAAAACACTAAATGTCTAGAAGACCAGAGACGAGCTTACCACAGCAGAGGGTTTCTCTGCACCAACACGCAAAGCAGGAAAGTACGTCTCTTCTCCTGATTCTATAAGTTCATTTTAAGATATAAAATTTTTTCTTCAATTGAATTTTTTCTTAAATCTTAATTGTATTTTTTTAATTTATTGGATATGAAAATTTAATAAATTATAAAATCTCCTGAACGTATATTCTCAAAAAAATTTTAAATTAAATTAATTAAATAATTTTACTTAAAAATAATTTTTAAAAAATATATATATGAAAAAATATATATGATTAAAATAGAAGCACTCTTATTCAAAATTTTGGCTTTGCATAGCAACCTTTTTCTTCTTTATTCATTGGGGGTATTTTTCTTAAATTTATTCTTTGTAGAAATATTTATCAACCATTCGTTATCTTTACCTAAAATTTTGTTTTCATTCGTAATTTTTGAAATTGTTTTCATGAATCTTTGAAATAGAACTATTCCAAGAATAAATGGTTCTATCTTTTTTTTCTTGGGTTGTTGAAACTGCTATGAATCCATCATTTATTTTGTTCTACTGTGTAAAGTTGAACTATTCCAAGAAAAAATAAAGCAATGTTTTTGACTTTACCATCATTTGTATTATTCAGAAAATTAATTAAGATTCTTTGACATCGTGACTTTATAAAGCAATGTTTTTGACTTTGCCATCATTTATACCATTCAGAGAATAAAAATTCTTCAATTCATGCATCGATCGTGATGAAGCCAATCATATCAACGTAATTATCATCAATGATGTTCTTATCATCTCTCTCTCCCCAACTACCCTTTCTTTTTAGGGAATAGGAGTGGGGGACCTTAGCGGGATACTAGGAAGTCTTCGAATGTTAATATTTTATTTGATTTGTGTAGAATTATATTTTATGTAAATATTTTATTGGTTTGTGTGGAATTATATTTTTATTTAATAATAATTCATTATTTGAAGAAATATCAATTATTTTCAATTCTAATAAAAACATTTTTAATTATTATTTTTTTTTCTTTTTTACATAATTTCATAAGTATCAAAATTAGATAAAATTAAAATAACAAAGTGAAAAATAAAATAATTAATTTCTTTTACAACATGAAATGAAAGTCAATTGTCTTCAATTCTTGATTTAATAATTAAAAAGAATTAAGAAGACAAATAAGGTAAAAATTCGAATCATACTAACCTTATCTCTATCTTCTATCCAATGAAACAAAAAAATGGTGAAGGCCAATTAAACTTTACAAGATTTCTTTTTTTTTTTTTTAAGTTTTAAATTTGTTTTGAAATCTGATTTTCCAAATACATAGATTTTAGCTTTCTTCTCTTTAAAACTTGATATTCAACTGTATACATAAATCTAGTAGTTCAACTGGTTTTACAGAACCTGAGGCATGAAATGACTAAGGAACATGGTGTATGCCTCCCTTTAGCAGCTCAAATTTTACAAAATCCCTTTTCCTCCCATATCCCTTGACTTTTTAACGCAAATCATTTTCAAACTAAAGAAAGAAAGAGAGTGAATATCTTAATGTCTTTTGATTCAATTTTCCAAATGCGTCGGCTGACCCCATTTTATCTGTTCCTCCGAAAAGATAAGCTTTGAACCGACCAACTGCAACAGCCTATTCAATCTCCATGAAAACTATACATGCCTTCAGTAAGCCAAACATTGAAATACAAGAATATTACATCTGATCTTAGGGGGATTATGTTTGTATTCATAGGGTAATCATGTTGCCTCGAAATAAAAGTGAAAAGAACTAGGATGATTAATTGGTTTTAATTGATTTGACAGGATTGAAAGGCTCTATCGTTTTCCATACACATTCCCTGATTAATTGATTTGGCAGGATTGAAAGGCTCTATCGTTTTCCATACACATTCCCTGATTAATTTATTTGGCAGGATTTGAAAGGCTCTATCGTTTTCCATCTTTCAACTGCATTTGGACATTTTTTACATGGATGGAAGTTTTGATGTACCCCACCACTCATTGCTTCCAAGACTTAGGTCTCTCTCCCTCCCTTTTCCTCTCTGAATTTTCTAATAAATATTAGTATTTCTAATTAACATTCTTGTGCTTTCAAGTCAGCTTGTTTTATTGCTGTGTTTCCTTTCTTTTTCCTTTGACTCTTAGTATGGCAACCAGAATATCTAACGCTTACAAACATTACCCACGACCTTGCTTAAATAAATGAATAAACCATACTTTGAGTGATTTCAAGAAATGACTCATTTGAACTATAGGGGCCTTCTTTTGAGACCAATAATGTTGAATTAAACAAACTTAGGTTCTAGTTTTTATGTCAATTTAAGCAAAGAAAGCCTTGAGAATATCATATTAATTTCAGAATTTGATTTGTAATCTTGTATACAACTTTTCTTCTTCCTCGTCTGAAACTTTATGATGAATAATGCTGAAATCTTGATCTAGAATTTATCAACAAATCACATGATTATCAGCAACAACAACGATCACTTTACTATTAAACACATTTAATACCCTTCCATTATAGCAGCATTTCAGTAATATAATACTCTTTCATTTCCTTTCTTTTTGGTCAGAGGAGTGGGGGACCTGAGCAGGGATAGGAGGTCTTCAAATGCAATCATGGACGATGTTGTATCGATGAATGGTCTATGATCTTTGCCCCAACCCCGTCCCACTGCCATTCCGTATTCAATTGTATGAAATGTATACAGATTATTGGACAACTGAGAATTTTATACACACATGCAATAAAGATGCATAACATAAAATATTGAGGGTTTCTGACCAAAGTGCAAAGCAGATGCATCAATACTTCTGTAGCCATTTGCCCATTGCTCCCTCCATTTACAAGAGCTTCTCTATGTTTCAAAAGCAAAACCCAATCTATTATCACTATTCACACACTCAAATTTTACTGCTTTCAAATAGTTTTTGTTGTGTGATACGACATTTTTAATCTATGGACTTTTTTTATTATTTTTTTCACACGTTTATGTTAGTATTTAAAAAAATTACAATATTAATATTTTATTTATTTACATGGATTTATGTTTTTCATTGTTTTCTTTTAAGTTGATCAGACTTTTTTTTTACCTATATTACATCAAATTTTACTTATTTTTATCTTTATTCTCACAAGTTCACGTTAAGATTTAAAAAAAAAAAAAAGTAATTTTTTATGTTAATATTTTATTGATTTTTCTAAAATTATATTTTTTTTGTTTAAAAATACATATTAGCTATTCTAAAAGACATCGATTACATTAAATTCTTCCAAAATATTTTTAATTATTAATTTTTTAAATAATTTCAAAGCATCACAATTAGATAAAATAAAAGTAACGAAGTGAAAAATGGAAAACTAATTTCTTCTAATATAATAAAATTGAAACCAATTAAATTTTGCTTGATTTTTGTTTTTAGTTTTAAATTTGCTTTGCAATCTGATTATCCAAATAAACAAGTTTTAACCTCTCCTCTTTAAAACTTGATCAATGGTTGATATTCAACTACATAATAAATCTGATAGTTATTACTTGCCGACCATATTGTAAGACCAAAAAACTTAAATTAACTATAAAAATGCCTGCCAATCTAAATCATTATATTGTACAATGACTCCTAACTTTTCTACATGCATCATCAGTCTAGAAATCTTTACAAGTTATGTTAAAACCAAAAGCAACTAGAGAAACTGAGAATCAGCTCTTGGTTGAAGAGGGAGTGAGTCATGGCCTCATAGGGTATTAATTACTAAACAATCATGAATTCTGGTGACAGAAACAAAAGTTACGACAATGCTATTCACCACCTGCTGTGGTATCTATGACTATTGAACCGAGATGAATGATGAGGGTAGCTGTTATCCCATCTTTCGTCAGTCTCATTTTCTAATCTGGCTGAGCCATGAATTCTTGGTGTATTACGCCTATCTGAAGATGAATAGGAACCATGACTTGCAACATCTTCATATACCAAGGGGCTCCTTCTACCCCTGTCAGAATGGGACCTTCCCATGGTTGGGCTACAGGGCCTTGGAATACGATCTCTTGGAGTTTGAAAACTGTGAGAATCATAATTACCATACCTTGGGGGATAGGATGAGCTAAATCTTGAGTCAACCCCCGGAGGGCCTTCATCTTCAAAATCCCCAAAATACCTTTGCTCATGATGATGCCCTCTGCTGCCAGGTTCAGAAGAATGGTTTAATCTATGGTGTGACCTCCTAGACGATTCAGAACTTGAAGGACCAGAAGCCCAACGTTTTTCATCTGCCTCTACAGGGATTGGTGCATTTATTCCTGGAAATTTGACAGTCATTTTCCTCTTTGGTTCAGAATGCACCATCTCGGCAATTTCTCCATCTTCCTCTTCTTCATTGGTTTCTCCATCAGCATATATTGTAATTCCTGATGGCTGATCCTCATCATCGGATGCTGCACGTGTTAGAAATAGTCAAATTAAAAATAGAATGAGAGAAACACAAACAACTTAAACAAACTGGTATACAATGGTTCTATTTAGACACTGGTTCAAGATCAAAAAACAGTAAATTTAAGAGCTAAAAGGGGAAGCCATTTTTATGAGGGGCCTGGAATTCAATAGGATTTGTTGCATTCATGTCTTTTCCCCATCAACAGAACACTTTGCTTCCATATTTCACTTTCTTGATGCTTAAGATATGGAACCCTTTGGATTTTATTGTTCCAATTATTGCTGCAACTAACTGGTAATAGTTTATTGGTCAACCCCTCACATGTTATCCATGAGTTGGTATGCCACATCATGCAAGTGTCCAGCAGCTATTTGTCACATAAGATGGTGAAAATAGTTGGGGCAAAATGGCATAAGATGGTGAAAATAGTTAGGGCAAAATGGCATGACCTTCACAGACAGCAGATTGCAATTTCTTCCAATTATGAATAAGGTTGTAAGTCTATACTATAGATGTGATGTGTTTAGTTACCTAGATATCCCGGTGGGTACCCCAGTTCTCGCATTCTGTTAAGCCAAGGTGGTGGATCGAACTCCTGTGAAAGCAAATAAATAAGGAATTTTAACCCCTAAGCGAAAAAGAAAGGCAGCCCAATTCTATCATTATCTATGGGGATGAATATATTAACACAAAATAGAAACAACTTAAAAACAGTTACTAATACTGAATTAAACATAGACATGCATAGAAAAATTAATTTCCTCCATGTTTAGCAAGAAAGAATCTGCTTTCCATCAAAGCTAACAGATCTGAAACACAAGAAGCTGACTTAATTTGTGAAAAACGTATTTTGGGGGGGGGGGGGGTTGGGGAATGAAAAGAAGAAACAGAACAATTTATTTGACAACTTAACTATTATAGGAATACTGTTCCACACCAGCTTTTGGCAGAAACTTCATAAAAAACCATTAGTTCACTTCAGTTATGCATATATAATGGCCAAATATAACTTCAACAACTTAAACATGACTAGATTTCCTACTGCTTCATCAGTTGAATAAGTCAATTGTTCATGCCCATTAAGCACAAAAGATAAAGGCAGATGTTTGTTACCAATGTCAAATAGGTTAATGGTCCATGCCCATTAACCACAAAAGATAAAGGTGGAATGTGCTCGTTAGCTATGTACTTGGCATCTAGCAGTGGAGTGGACATGCTAGTCATTAATGTTAATCATATAATGAGGGGTTTTTCAGAAAACAAAACTGAATGTTCTTTGGAAAGCCCTTTTTGTCAGCATATAAAAAAGGGTTAGAAGAAAATTCCAAACAGAAGGATGAAACAGAAAAGACAAAAAAAAACTTTTGGAACAGGATGCTGGTTCTTTGAAGTTTGAAGGCCTCAGCTTATCCGATGTATTATGACGGGGAACTTTAGTACCGTAAACAAAATCTAGCAGATTTCCATGTAATATTGGTTGTATCATAAGATACCATAAAAAGAAGGGGGCAGGGAGGGAGTTGCCATGGAATTGAAGGAGCATATTACCCCAAGGCCTAACAGTTGTCGTGTTTCAGCACCAAGAACACCAGGCTTTAGATCATCATATTTTCCACCTTGAGAGTTCTGATAATAGCGAATTGCATTGCGAGAAGCAGCATTCTGATTGCGTTTGAACTTGTAGTGTTGCTTTCGAGCAATATTGACAGCAACATTGTCACGAGGCTTTGGGCATTGCTTCAGGGAATGACTATAAGAACCACAGTTGAAACAACGGGAAGCCTCATCTTTTATCTCCAGGCCTCTACAAGAGGCAACACAAATAGTTAAGAAAAGATAGACCTTTTAAGGTGGGTGGGCAAACATAGACGTAGGAAAGCCATACAGGATACAAGCTGCATCATGGTTATAGTTACATCAACCAAACTAACAGACCTTTTTTTTTTTTTTGTTTCTGGAGAATTTAATAGACTTGATTGGCAAGAAAAGATTTCCTTGCTATGATTTCTATTTCGTATTTGATAATTCAGACTGGTGACTGATCTACTAACTGATTAACAACAGTCAAGTCACCATTGCTACATATTTGATAATATTGCAATAACTGAACAAAACAAAATTAATAACATAAAGTTGACTCCAATTTTCAAAACCCAAGTCCAACGTATCAATCAGACCAACTAAAATGTCACATATTTGAAAAAATTGCAGAGCACATGCATACTAATAAACCTGCAGCTGTACACTGCTAAATGAGTCAGTATTGAACATGCAATTAAGCAACAATGAGAATGAACAAGAGCATAGATAAGTCAACAATGAAATAAATGCTAACTTGTATGCATATTTTTGGAGTGAGAATTTGTATGCATCCATTGAGAGAACAAAATAAGCTATTGTGAGCCATAAAAATGCAGTCATGCATAAAATAAAGCCCTCAAAGCTTATAACAAACTTGCATGTCATTGCCCATTTACATGGCAAACAATATTACAAAAAGTGCAGTCGAGTATTTACCCTTCCAAATTACTTGAACCATCCGCGGAAGTCAAACCTATTGCATATCCACGATCATAAAGAGGCACAATGTTACTATCCAATGGGATGAACTCTGTATCATGCGGATTCCTTGTTTGGTTGTCAATCCAGAATGACTACAAATCCCCTCCAAAAATCAAAAAATAATAAAACTAAAATATAGAGAAAAAACAATAATCTCTCATGCAAAGCATCAGCCTTTTTAGGACAGAAAATGAAGAACTCATGAAACTTTAATGTGCATAAGATTTACAATTACTAAGGGAGGAATAGTAGGGGCTGCAATGTGAAATCATTTAGAGAGTAAATAATTGAACAACCACTTCAAGAGAAAAAAATTTCACTTGTGATTTAGAATTTCAACAATGAAGAAAATATTCCATGATAACAGATCGCCAATGATGTTAAAAAGAAAACAACTAAAAGGTCCAAAACTATACTTCTAATAAAAACTATTCCAATTACAAAAATCTAAATGCGTATGTCAGTCCAAAACACTAAATGTCTAGAAGACTAGAGACGAGCTTACCACAGCAGAGGGTTTCTCTGCACCAACACGCAAAGCAGGAAAGTACGTCTCTTCTCCTGATTCTATAAGTTCATTTTGATCCTGGGCAGATTGAATTACACTCAGTTGCACTTAATTGCCAATAGATTCTCAAAAATTGAAGGACAAGATACCTCAAGGAAAAAAATGATAGTATACAATCTGGTGATAGGGCATTCCAAACCAATGCAAGAGAAAGAAAGGTGAATCCATGCTCTACCCTCAGTTCTAAATTAGCTAAAGGATATAACTAGTGATGAACGAAGGTAGAAAAATTGAAAACCAAAAATTTAGCCAGACATACATAGGATGAAGAACCATGTTCAGCTTGCCACTCTGACCACTTCTGCAAAAGTTCCTCAAGCTTCAGTTTACTAGCTCTGGAAAAAGGTAAGAGGAGATAACAATAAGAAACCTAACTGAAAAGAATGCATAATAGTTCCCAAACACACTATATCTTAAGAAGTCCTATTCCTGTCTATTAAACAGAACTTCAAGAAAAGAATTAAAACATGATGCCTTTAATTCTTTGATTTTCAGAAGTAATAACCCTTACTCCAGCCCTAACCTTGTTAAGAAATTATACACAATATGAACAGAAGGTTGCTGGTCATCAAATGTCATCCGGGGTCTCTTAACACTAGATACAGCTGACACTTTGAATTATGGAAAGCAAAAATCATCATACCATACGCTGTAGAGAAAAATTTATTTCTGTTGATATAGAACTGAGCTTATGAAACATACAACTACAGAAGCAAAGCTCTTTTACTATAGTTGGCGAATACACAAGAAAGCAAGCTTTGATAACAACTGAGAAGTAGGATACAAATACCATCCATCATGTGGTTCTGGATGGGACTTTCATTATGGACATCAACACGCCGCTTTTTGGTAGGCACTGAAGATCCATCCATTTTCTCTTCAACCGTCACAGTTTCAGTTATTTCATCACTTATTTCCATGTCAGATGAACCTTCAGCAAGAGTGTTGTCTACCTCTGCTTCCACAATGAAATGGCTCTGGGGATTTCTAATATCACCTTCATTCAGCTCCGGGATCTCGGCTTTCATTTCACCATCTTTAGCCTCAGCATTATTAGGTTGAGAATCTACTTGATTTGGAGCATCATCCAAATCCCGAAGTTCACCACTCTCACTTCCAGACATGGAATTGCTAGATGAAGGAAGGTTAATTAAATCCTGACCTTCCACACTTCTATTACTGCATGAGACAAGCCATAATTAGCAAACTACAAAATAATCACCAGATAACCAATTTCCATCATAAACCAAGAGATAAAATCTTAGAGGAATAACAATAGTTAAATTAGGATCTGATTTTATTGTTACTTTTTTCTACTTGGTTTTTGTTTCCTAAAAAGTTACAATAAACCAAAATCACAATCCATAAAAAATGAACAAATGAGTAAACCAATTCTAACAAAATTGCTCTATGTAAAAAAAAAAAATAGTAATTGTTTTCAGTTTCCAGTTCTTCAAAAGCTTCATTTGTTTTTGAATTCAAGTAAAGCAAGTGGCAAAAACAACAATCAAACGATTCCAAAAAATACATACCTGTATTAGGCAATTTACTTAATAGAAAACTAAGAAATGCAATATACAACTAAAACTTCATTCCGGGCTCAGGCAAATGCATTCAACTAATCCAACTCAAGAAGCACATTTCAAAACTGAAAGAATTTTAATTTAAAGATTAAGGCATTAAGACATAGCAAATCTCAACTACTCAACACCGTTTTAAGTTTCCTTAACATCCAATTTGACTTGTTTTGATTCCTTTTTAGTTCAAGAAGTTGAGTAGTGAGGAAGTAAGAATCAAATTCACTGTAAGCTCAAAGCAACAGTTAAGGTTATCTTTAAATCTTTCTTTAAATTAAAAAGGATAATAATGAAGGAACGAATCTCAATCTTACTTTTCCAAAGAAAAGCAAAGGGGAAAAAGAGGGAATTGAAGCAATTTAGTTTTTGCACTACTAACCTTTCATTCATGATTCATTAACTTGGACTTGGAGAGAATTGAAGGATGCAGGTCACACTGCAATAACAAAGATCAAAACACCCATAAGAACTTAAACCCCATTCCAGTCCACTAAAATATAAAATATGTCCTGTTCAAGTTTCTAAACAGTATCAACTAATTGACGCTTCTAACAGAAGTTGATCTGAAGAAATGAAGAGACAACAAGCAGATCACTTCAACACAGAAAACCATATAAAGCTGAAACCTTTTTCAGTTCGCAGATCACTTCTCATCCTGGCGAAAAAACATGTCTTTCTTTAATGGATTTCTAAGTCTAACTAAACTAAAAAAAACCAAGAAACTTCTTTCAATCTTTTTTTTTAACATGCTCACTATAAAGCAACATCTTTTCACATCTCAGTGGCTTGTAAAAAATCAAAGGAACTTTCATACTTGGGTTGTAAAATATTTCATAAAAGAAATGACCAAACTTGCCTGTGGGAGAGGCACTTGCTTTGAAATTGGAAGGAATTGACGGTAGAGAGAGAAAGAGAAACTTGGGTCTTCGAGTTATAGTCACAAAGCTGTGACGGCCAGCGGAAGACAGAGCTGTTATGGGCGGAAAAAGAAAAAGAATTACCCAAAGAAGAAGAAGATGCTTAAAGTTTTCAGGTTTTGTAAACCTAAAGGTAAGAAGGTGAGAGGAAGCCATTGGCGGCTAAACGACAAGTTTTGTATTGTTTTCCCTATTTCCTATATTTCTTTTGTAATACTTAAATATTAGCAAATGTATTTTTTTTCCCTATAATTAGCATAATTTATTAAAAAATCTCAAATTAAAAAAAAAAAATATATATATATATATATATATAAATGCAATTCCTTTTATGCAAAAAATAATAGGAAAAAAAAAAAAGAAACAATTTTCACATCGCTAAGTGGATAAAATAAAGTACCTTCCCTCGCTTTTTCACACTCTCACCTTACTAATCCCAATTATCAGCAAAAGCAACAGCCAACGCACTGTCTCTTTCTTTGATGCGCTTACTCTTTTCTCCGTCTCGTTACCCAATCAAAACTCTCTTCCAACTCGCTCGATTCCCCCTTCGAATCTACTCATCGCCACTTCCACCGACTCGGAGATCGTCAAATCCAATGGCGATCCCTCCAAAGTCTGCCGCCGCCGTTATCCCCATCGAGGAGGGTCTAGCGACGAGGTTCTGGAACAAGTTTCGTGGAGAATCAGCGCTCTCTCTTTACTCCCCTTTTGCTCTTTGTTTGGCTTCTGGGTCTCTCAAGATCGACACTTTTCGTCATTATATTGCCCAAGATGTACACTTTCTCAAAGCCTTTGCCCAAGCGTGAGTCCTTTTTTCCCTTAATGTTTTGGCCCTTTATGGATTCTTCAATCTGGGTTTTGTTCGTTTTGGAGAATACATTTATATTTTTGGGTTTATCTATTTATTAATTATTAAGGGAATGTAGTCACTAACTTGAACTTTTTATCCTTTCTTTCTGGGTTTGTCTTTTTTTTAATTTTTAATCTTTCTATTTGATTTTAGTTGCCAAAGGGGTGTGCTTTAGGAATGGGACACTTTTTTTAGATGCATTTACTTTGTTGTTTGATTTGTTTGATTGTTTGGTATTATTGGATGGTTGCTTTGAGGATGTGAGAAGAGGGAAAGGAATTGGAATCTCAATCTTGGGTTTTGTCTATGGAGATTGTTACTTCCTTTTAACGTTTAATTGCTTGAGTATTGTTAGGTTGCGTACACAGTTTAGTTAGAAGAAAATGAAAATGAATCTTTTGAATAATGGAAATCTTTTTTTGTACATCTAAATTAGATATTTATGAATTGGTTGATTTGGTATATTTATACGAGTTGGCATGCTTCTTAAATGATTTAGATTTCTGGTTTTTACTTATTATTATTATTATTATTATTATTATTATTATTTTCTGAGTTTTGATTCAATTCAAAACTATAACATTCCTTTTTTTGGCCTTTCATACAGTCTTCTCCAGAGTTATGGGATATAAAGTTTAGTTTGTTGTTGTTGTTGTTGTTGTATACCAAAGGTTTATGTAGAAATGGTTTGATAAATTTGCCAATGTTTAGTTGCATTTAATGGAAAATTAAAAGTAAATTGAAAAATCAGCATATGAATTTTCAACTTTTCATTAGTTAAGAATTGGTGCATGTCCCTGCTTGATATTCTGGTTAAGGGAAAACTTCATGATCTTTGCATTGTCTCGTTGAGTTGTGAAAAGTGAGAATTTATGGTTGTAAACAGGGATATTCTTTTCTATGAAACGCTGCTGATGTATGAGTGTTGAATTTCTATTTTAAGATTGATATAGTTATTTTCCAACCCCTTCCTAGTTATTGGTTGCTGAGAAAGTGAGGAAAAGAAGATAAATGGAAGTTTAATTTCTAAGCACCATTTGGTTGCTTAAGTAATTATTCAGATGTTTATTTTCTTTTCTTTTTGACATCTTTCTCAGCAACCAATTGGAGGGTTATATTGTTATTATTTGTGGAAAAATTAATTACATTGCTTGAGTTAAGGTTCAGCTTCCAGAATTTAAATTGACATATAGTGGTAGATTAAAGAGACTAACTTTTTCTCTTAGCTAGTTTCCATCAGAATTGCCTTGTGCTGTTTGTACATATGTCCTCAATTGATTTCTTGTTTCTTCAATCTGGGTTTTAGGTATGAAATGGCAGAAGACTGTGCAGATGATGATGATGCAAAGTTAGCAATCTCTGAGTTAAGGAAAGGTGTCTTGGAGGAGCTAAAAATGCATAATTCCTTTGTACAGGTGTGATAAAAGGATTCTTCTCTTCTGTTGCTTGGTACACACTCAATTATTGGAAAAGTTAAGATAAAAAAAGACATTTGAATTTCGTTTTCTTTTGCCATTGCTTGTAGATTCATAAAATATCATATCACCAACTAGTTAAAACAGGATTTACTTGGAAATAGTGGTGTTTAGGAGATGCTACCTTGGGTCCAACTGGCATATGATATCATCCGCAATAGAAATTTAATCCAGAGTTTTTGTACCAAATCAACCTTTATCATGTATCACCCAATAGTTAAAACAGGATTTACTTGGAAAACCTTGGTGTCTAGGAGATGCTATCTGGGGTCCAACTGGCATATGATATCATCTGCAATAGAAATTTAATTGACTATTGTTGTACCAAATCAGTCTTGATGATGCCTTGCACTCACTATCTGTTTTTATTATTTTATAACGACATGAAAGGGCCATTGCTTGGATTTCATTTTTCACTTTTTTTTATGATATAGAGGGCTAGCCTATGAGATATTTGGTCCTTTTGGTGGATAACAAGTTTCAAGTGGATGAATGTTGGACTTTGATATGATAAGTCCTGTAAATCATCACTCAGAGAAATCCATTGCTTGGATGGCATTTCCCATTTTTTTACTAATGATATAGAGGGCTAGTCTATGAAATATTTGGTCCTTTTGGTGGATGACAAGTTTCAATCGGATGAGGGTTGCACTTTGACATGATAAGTCTTAATGAATCATCACTCACAGAAATCTATAAAGAGATTTGAGGAAATAATCAGACTCGTTTGATTCGTTAGTATCTGCCTTGTTATGCTTTCTGCAATACTATGAGGCTTCAGTTACTCTCTAAGATAGTTGCTTAAGAATCCATATGCATATCAATACATCCCTAGTTTTTGTACTGTAAGGGTGTCCTCTTGGTCTGAATGCTGGAGTTTTGCAGGAGTGGGGTTCTGACTGTGTTAAAGAGAGCCCGGTCAATTCTGCAACTTTAAAGTATACAGAGTTTTTGCTTGCAACAGCTTCTGGGAAGGTTGAAGGACTAAAAGCTCCCGGAAAACTTGCCACTCCATTTGAGAAAACAAAAATTGCAGCATACACTCTAGGGGCCATGACACCTTGCATGAGGCTGTATGCCTTTTTGGGTAAGGAGTTTCAGGCACTTCTAGAACCCAATGAGCTCAATCACCCATACAAAAAGTGGATTGAGAATTATTCTTCTGAAAGTTTTCAGGTATGGCATTGATTGCATTTTCTAGTGGTCAACTTGATTATACTATATTTATTATAGTCTCATAGGAAAAAAATTATTAAATAAATGACCTAAATTCCATGGCTCAACTATTGATTCTTTGAATTTAGGCATCAGCTCTGCAAACTGAAGACTTGCTGGATAAACTTAGTGTCTCTTTGACAGGCGAGGAACTAAACATCATTGAGAAGCTTTATCACCAGGCCATGAAACTGGAAATAGAGTTTTTCTATGCTCAACAGCTTATTCAGTCCACTGTTGTTCCTCTTACTAAGGAACATGACCATGCACAAGATCGTCTTATGATATTTTCTGATTTTGATCTTACTTGCACAGTTGTTGATTCATCTGCCATTTTGGCAGAGATAGCCATAGTAACAGCCCCAAAATCTGATCAGATCCAACCGGATGGTCAAATTGCTAGGATGTCATCTGCAGAGTTGAGGAACACATGGGGTCTACTTTCCAGACAATACACAGAAGAGTATGAAGAATGCATAGAAAGCATTTTGCCCTCGGAGAAAGGTACAGCAATATACTGCCACGACACTTTTAAAGTTTTAACTATATGTTTAATCTTCGAAAAGATGTCCTGGATAACATTTCATTAGTTCCTTTTACATTGATTTTTCACTTCCTGTGATTTTACAGTGGAGTTCAACTATGAAGCTCTGCATAAAGCACTTGAGCAACTCTCAGACTTTGAGAAAAGGGCAAATTCTAGGGTGATTGAGTCAGGGGTACTTAAGGGTCTAAACCTTGAAGACATTAAACGAGCTGGTGAAAGACTGATTCTTCAAGATGGTTGCATTAGTTTCTTTCGGAAAATCACAAAGAGTGAAAATATTAATGCCAATATCCATGTTCTTTCTTATTGTTGGTGTGGTGATCTCATCCGGGCAGCTTTTGCTTCAGGTACGTTCTTCCACTCTTGGCATTACATCATTAATTTGTTGTATAGCTCTTCTACCATCATCTTCTACTTCTATCTTGTCAGTTGCTTGAGTGCATTCTTGAGTATTATGTGATTTAATGATTTCCTATCTCTTGAGAAACTGAATGTCTGAATGTATCCCAACTGCTAGTACTAATGGAAAGTATATTACTAACTGAAATTATTTTCTTTACTCTTTCATTTTAAGCAGGGGGTTTAGATGTTCTGAACGTACATGCAAATGAGTTCAGTTTTGAAGAATCAGTATCTACAGGCGAGATTGTTAGGAAAGTGCAGTCTCCTATCGACAAGGTTCAAGCTTTCAATGATATCTTACAGGACTGTAGCAATGACAGAAAGAACTTGACTGTTTACATTGGAGACTCGGTAGGTGATTTGCTTTGTCTACTTAAAGCAGATATAGGTATTGTGATTGGATCTAGCTCAAGCCTAAGGAAAGTAGGGGGTCAATATGGTGTTTCTTTTGTCCCATTGTTCCCTGGCTTGGTTAAGAAACAGAAGGAATATGCTGAAGGGAGCCCTTGTATTTGGAAGGGGCAATCAGGAATTCTTTACACTGCCTCTAGTTGGGATGACATTCATGCCTTCATTTTGGGGTGGTAAAGAATCTTTTTTTTCTTTTTTCTTTTTTTTTCATTCACATGCTCATCTTCATGTTTAGTTAGGACATATGAAGGAATTATTCATATAGAGGCAGGAATTTCTATGGAAGCAATGAGGGCAGCAATCCAGAAAAACCTTTTTGATAGTATTGGGTAGCTGCCCCCATTGAAATCTCGAAAAAGAAACTTTTTGACAATATTATGTAATTACCACAACTTTAAGTAAAGTTTTGATTTTGCTCCCTTTGAAATTCAATTACTATCTCACTTTAAATTTGATTAGTGTAATATTTACATAAATAGCAAACCTCTTAAGAAAATTTTACAGTCTTCAACAAGAAAATCTAATTGTATTTTTTGGTAATAAAAACATAATTGTATTAGTGCCATCTAAGTGTTTAATTTATGTAATTGTGACATAATGTAATAAGGGATTTTGGTGGGGAAAAAAAAACCTATGAAAAGATCATGCTGACTAACTAATCAACAGTAGCACTTTGGGCAAATCTTTGGTGGAATTGGGAAGTTTTTAATTTTTTTTATATCATAATTTGAAATAAAAAAGGATATTGTAACTTACGTGTTTTGAATTTCAAATATGTCAGGATTTTATTTTTTAAAAGTGGTTGTACAATATCATGTTAAGTGTTTAAAGAGAGTAGTCAAAGTGTATTAATCTCTATGGAATAGAAAAGGAAAGGCCGTTGAATTTATAAAAGAAAAGGGAAGGTCATTAAATAAATATTAGCATTGTATACCCCATTAAGTTAATTTTGTAAAAAAAAAAATAATAATCATATAATAAATGGTATCAAAGTTAATTTTTAACTCATTCGATTTCATATCAAATACCTCATCAAGATAAATAAGATCTTAAGGGAAAACATAATTACCTTAACGGGATAGATAGGATAAATCAATTTGATCACTTAACAAAGTGTCAAAATAAGATATGATAATAAAATTTGACTACACAAAACACAAGACTAAATGAGAAAGAATAATACGTCAAACTCTCAAAGATAATAGATAAGATACATTAATCTCACATTGAATAGAAAAAAAAATTACTAGACATATAAATATTGGCATTGTACGATCCAATAAATCGATTTTACGAGAAAAAAATAATAACCACGTGACAAAAATTAATTGATTTAGATAGGGCTTGAAAAGTTGTAATTTTAATTTTTCATATATTTACTTATAAAAAAATTCATGTATTTAATTAAAAATTTCATTAATAGTAAAACTTGCTATTTTATTTGATATTCTTACTTCTTAATGTAACATCAAACAACTAAAAACTTTTTTGTTTTAGGATGGTAACTTCTCTTAAATATTCAAAATGTTATTGAAAAAAATTAGGGTTCATCTTTGAATTTGACTTCTAGACATTAAAAAATCTAAGTATTTGACATAATATGAATTTGAGACTAATCAAAGATTTAGATCTTAGAAGCAAATGGTAGCCAATACCAATCAAATGGAGGTCCCCACCCCTTTAACTATATGATTCTACTTTATCCACTGTCTAGTTGATGCAATAATTAAAATCTGATTTTGTGGATCAAATTGGTGCTTGGCATCCAAAGATTGGCTTGAACAAGAAAAAAAAAATCATGGTTTAAGTTCCTATTGGATTTAATTCAAGTGTTAACATCAATATTTGAAGTGTTTAAAACTCTAAGATGATGAGATATTATGAAATCAAATTCCTAATTTTTGTTCATCATAGTTTTCTTCATATAGTACATTCCATAATTAAAATATTAAACAAATCTAATTGAATAAAAAAAATAGAACGAAAAGAAAAGGCAGACATGGGAAAATAAGTTGACCAAAACATAGGACTGGTTTTGGATTAGTTTAGTATTGTTATTATGGTTGAAAAAAATTTAAGTGAAAAAAATGTGATTAGAAAAATATGATTAAAAATTTTAAGTGTTTAATATTACTTTAAAATATATTATAAGTAATTAAAATATCTAAAAAGATATATAGAAAATATTAAAAAAATATAAGATAATTTAATGATTTTTTATTCTGAAAGTATTTTTTTACTATAAAAATATTTCTTGAATAGCTTTTTAATTTGAGTCACAAAATCATATTTTTAAATTGAAAATTCATATTTTTTTTTGTTTAATATTGAGGTTAGATAAAAATAATTTTTAAACTCAAAAACTATTTTTATTGTAATACTAAACTAAATTTTAATCATTTTTAAAAAATAATATTTATTAATTTTAAAATTTAATATTTATATTTTTTTTTCAGACTAAATCTCTTTTATAGATAAGAGAACAAATTGACCAAACTTTCTTTGTCTAGACATTGATTTATTTTTTTTTAATATGTCCCACTTAATCTGTCATTTTGTGTTTCTAATTTAAGACAAGTAGACATTGGAATAATAATTAAGGCCATAAAAAAAAAAAAAACCTTTTCATCAAAAATTTATTTATTTATTTATTTTTAACACCTTTATGGCATTGTAACTTTATATCATTGCTTAGCTGTGCAAAAAAAAAAATTGTGTTTATAAAATAATAATAAAAATAATTATTATGAAAAAGTTAGGTGTGAGGAAAATTCTTGTCTGGTGGGAATCATTATGTGGTGGGGGGGACCAATGCCAACTTGAAGGAGACTCATAATTTTTTATTTTAATCAATAGAGTTAATTGAGTGGGATTAACTATAGTTATCACTATCCTTTGATGTGATTACTATGGAGTTTTGAATCATTATTTGCACTAACTAATTCTTTTTTTTTTAGTGGAGTTTGGTGTTTTTGTTAAAAGGCTTAATTAGTTAATTAGTTGTCCAATAATCATGATTTTTTCTTCTTCTTTTTTTTTTGGCACTAAAAATCTTTATTATTGTCTTTAATAATGCTCATGTGTTATAAAATCAAAGAAAAAAAAAACTTGAACCTAGATTTCATTTTTAAAACTAAGATGTGATTCTTGGCAAAGCAAGTGAGAGGAATTTTTTTTTATATGAAATTATGTAACTAATGCATATAAAGGTTTTTCTTCTTTAATTTAACCTTTTTCTTTGCATGGTTGATGATTTAAGTAATTTTTTTTTTACCAAAAAATCATAATTTGGAAAAAAAAAAAGATTACGGAATAAAAAAGAATACAAAATTAATTAAATTAAATTTTGAATTTGATAACTTTTCTAATATAATAAAGAGTAATTAGCAATCCTAAATAGTTGGATTAGCATTAGGAATCGACTTAATTAATTGCAAAAAGTTACATATCCAAATTAAATATAGAAATTAATCCAATATTCAACTTGTATTTGACTTCTAAATTGGATTGAACTATATTCTATATGAACCATTAAACCTTCTCCACTGTCTATTTAATAAAGAATTTTTTTTTAAATGTTCTTCATTTGTACCTACATATACAATTCTTTTTAAAAATGGTTGGAAAGGCAAAGTATTTGGATCAAAATTTTGGGTTTTTGGGATAATTTTGATTGCTAATTTTAATTTTGATGGATGGGAAAAAGTTCTATGGCAGGAGATTCAAGTGGAATCCTTTAACAAAATGTATGAGACCCACCATCTCTTTTTTTTTCTTTTCTAATTTTTTTTCTTTTTTTTTTTTGGGGGGGGGGGGGGGTTTGATGATTGACTAAAAAAGTTTCCTTCCAATTCAAGAAACATTTTTTTTAGCAATAAAAAAAATCAATTCTTTTAACTCAAAAAACATGATCAAAATGCATAATTAAAGTGTGAAAAACCTACAAAACAATATACTATCATATATGTTAGCCAGGATATGATAAAAATTTAAATATCATTTTGGTATATATAATAAGAACAATGCTTCCTGCACTTATTTTATATTCTCATTTTACAAACTCACTTCTTATTTAAGGAATTTAAGTGAAAAATACTAAAATTTTTGCGAGTTATAATAAAATTTTAAAAATTTATATATTATGTGAGTGTATAAAATCAACGTATTAAATAAACTTTTTCATAATAATAATATGAGTTTGTATAATTTCACGTTGTTAAAATTCTATCAACAACTAATAAGTGAGATAAAATGTAAGATTTAAACTATACATTGATTGACAGTTTACAATAAGATTACCTATGAAGTAGAGGCAATTAAGCTTGCCAAAATGATGATAAATGTACAAAAACTATTGCTTTAAAAAAGCAATATATGGGAGCCCAACTCTAATTATAGAACATTATAATAATACATGCAAATGGAAAGAAGTGTTCATATAATAATTTGTTTTGTATATTAATATATAATAATTTCTTCTTTATTGCAAACTTTTTAGCAACTTGACCCAGATATATAAAACAAGAATAATTGAAAAAAGAAGACAAAGTTTTATACATGTAAAAATCATGAATAAAAAGAAAACATTGTACGTATTAATTTTATAATATTGGTCTATAGTTAGCAAGTTACAACATACGTCCATGTATGTAATAATTTCATTGAGTTTTTTTTTTTTCTTTTGCTTTCCCAAATTTTATTTATTTAATTATTTAATTTAATGGACCCTACAATTAGATGGTTCACCTTAGATTCCCACTCTAAAATTATAAAGAGAGCTTGTTAAATTAAATTAATTTTTTGCTTATTGCAATTTTATTTTTAATATAATAACACATAAAACATATGTAGTAGGGCCTAACATGTACGTGGACAGCTTGTTTAAGTTAAATTAAATTAATTTTTTGCTTATTGCAATTTTAAATATAATAACACATACAAACATATGTAGTAGGGCCTAACATGTACGTGGACCTTTGTGTTTTTCATTTACATTATTTTAATCCTTAGCTCTATGTTTCATCCGTCCAAATTACCAAGTACTAGGAAATTATAATATTATTAATAATTCATCCCTCAATTATATATATTAATCATATTTCACTCTTGAATATTCTCACCCTCTCTAATTCTCTAGCTAGTTTCTGATCTCTTCTTCTCAAATTTTTTGCTTTTTTTGTGTAATTTTAAGTACATGATGGATCAAAGAGAAGGCGATGATGACCATGGAATTACTTGCAGAATTGACTGGAAGATTTCAAGGCCAAATTTTCAAGAATGGTTTTGCATTTGAGCCATGGCCTAAATAATTGGAGCAAATGAAAATGATGATGATCTTGACTTCGGGGAAATTATTAACCTCTAGGCAAGTCTACTGCTTGGCTTATCCTCCTTTTTTGTGGTTTTCTTTTTTGTTTTTATCATGTTTGGTTGCTGAGAAAATGGAGGATATTGTATGAATAAGATTTGGAATCTTGGTTTCATGTTAGATTCCAAGGCTTCTCTTCTTCGATCACTAGCTGTGTCTTTAGCAACCAAACAGGTTTTAGTTTCTCTCTCTTTTAACTTTGAGTTCTTGTCTGCTCCAACACTGTAAGAGAAATTAAACTTTGTGAATTGTAAAAGACATAGTTTTTCTTTCTGGTTCATCATTTAAATTCAACGAACAATAATATATATAGCAGAATTGCCAAACTTGTTTAGATTATATATCATCCAATCACTACTTTTTTCTGAAAGGCTTGAGTTGGTTTTAGTTTGAAAATCCTGCGAAGTTTTAAGGATGTTTTATTCGGTGAATGAATATTCCAGGGAGTTGGTTTTAGTTTTGAAAAACCCAGCTGCATCATGATCCATGAACATTGGGAAAGTTTAAGGATGTTTTAGTTGGTGAATGACTAATGTTCCAGGGCATATCCTGGATTCTATCCAGGGAAAAACTTGAAAAAGAAAACAAAAGTACTTCTGACAAAATTGAGTGGCTGGTGTTGACATTTTACATTGACAGATACGTAAATGGAAGCTTTTAGCCATTGAGTAATGATTCAAGAGAAGAGCCCCACTGCTAGTTTTAATCTTTATATATAGAATTCCCATGGAAGAATTATGAATCAGTGCAGGAAAATGCTGAATATTGCTGATTAAATAATGTAATAATGTGGGTTCTAGGAGTTGATCAGTTAATCTATCAGTTTATGAAACATGAAATTAAGCTGCCTTCTTAGATCCAATTCATGCAAGTAACTGTTGCTTGAATTACTAGTTGTAGATATCAAAATTTCATGCTGTAATCCAAGTATTATAAGCTGTAACTCTGCTGAATAGCCAGCTGAATATTTACATCAACCCTAATTAATTAAAGAGAGATTTCAGAAATCTAGCTCTTGAAGTAAAGGTAGGGTTTATTGTAATGCTGTGATTGAAACGAATCATCATCATTGCTGTTTCATGTCCCGGATAGCTGGGGAAGAAACTCAATGGATAATGAATCTATAAAATAGTGAAATTTTAGGGCTGTCTGCAATGGACTGAGCAGTGAAAGCATTATCATAAAAAAAGACCAGATAACCTTTGATAAGGTTCAAGGGGACTCCAGCCTTTTTGGGGTTTCAGAGGGCACTTAAAACTTGGCCTCAATTATAACATCCCTTTTCCCTTGGGACCCATTATAGTAGCTACAAAGTTATGATTTAAAACATAAATTTTTCTGAATTTAATTTAATTTATTCATATAAATTTTAAAAAATAATATTTAATAGATTTAAGATGTAAATCTTAATATTTATAATTTTTTTTTTACTATCAAATTTTTATTTTTTATAAAAATATTATAAACTTCTCAATTTGTAGATCTATATCTCATTTATATTCTATTTTTTTAATGAGACCAAACATGTGTGCCATCTGTCAGTTTCCTACTGTAATTTCCTCTTTTCCTACTAGAAAATTCAGATTCTTCAACCCTAACTCTTAAGAACTTGTAATTAGGGTTTGGTCAAATATACCAAAATGTGACTTGAAACAGAAGATACCCATGTCCTCCAATAGGAATAAGGAATCTTTTTTCATTTTTTTTCCAATTAACTTTCTTTTTGTTAGAGTTAAAGCCAGAATGCAAGGTGCAGATTTTGTAGCTTCCTATGCAAAAACTGATAAATATATAATTATCATCAACCTTAACTTTAGGGATAAGGATGATGATTCATGCAAAAGTATACTTTTCCATCATAAAAGTTTAGCCGCCAGGTCTCATAGTTAATGGATATGACACATAACTAAGAGGAAAAAATATAATTCATCAATTTAATTAATTCCCACTTATGGATTTGACTTTTTTAACTTAGAACCATAGTTTTAAAAATAGGCAATGGCATTGTTTCATTGGTGGATTGCTTAATTGTTAGTTGTTTAATATAAAATAATGTTTAATAAATTTAAATTTAATTTTTAATTTTAACTGTAACTTTTATTATTAAAGAAATAAGTATAGGAATCTTTTTTTTTCTTGATAAGCATCATTCATACCCCAACTTCAAGTCAACAAGCCCCTAATTTCCCTCCATTAGCAACCATCTAAAGGTATGGAATATGACCCAAAGGATCATGCCATCCCTCTACACTACTCTACATGGATTTGGGATTGGCTTCTTTCACCATGAAAAAGAGAGCCATGAATTTGTAAGATAGAATTTGTCTCAGCTGATGAATCAGTTTCCTTTGTTTTCTTTCAATCTTTTTGTCTCTAAACTCTTCTTTCTATGCAACTCAATAAACTCTCTTAATTCGAAAATATTTAAATAAAATTTTTTAAGTAAAATTTATGAAATTTCTTATTAAAACTAATTAAAATAATAAATTAAAATTTTTCATTACATAAATTAAATGTAAAATTTGAAAAAATTTTATAAATTTTATATATATTTTTAGATAATATTTTTAGTAAAAATATTGACAAAATTTTTACTATTAAATAAGTATCGATCAAATTTAAAATATAAATAATTTTTAAATTTTTTTACATATTATTAATTTTTACATTAAATTTTATTAATTTATCAATTTAAAGTTTTTATTAAATTTTTATTAAACTATTTTTAATAAAAAATTTCATAAATTTTATTTAAAAAATTTTATGTAAGTTTTGTCTATCTTATCCTTACCCTCTACCTCCAACTCAAAAAAGGCAAGGATATTTTATCATTTCTTTTTCTAGGTTTTTTTTTTAATACTTTTGAGTACATATTAAGTTATTATATTTGGAATATTAAGTTTTCAGTCATAAAACATCTATCTCAGGCTAAAAAGTCTTTGTTGTTTGCTAACCAAATTCCACCCCTTTATCTTATTACATTATCTACAAATAATGGACATCTAGCATGAAATTTTTTTGGTACAAATGAGACTATAATTTAGAGACGAGAAAGGCATTATAGGTATTAAAATTTAAATTTTAAATTATTTATATATTTTTTATTAAAATGATTGAATGAATTAATTGAATTAAATTTTAAATTTTATATAATCTAAAATTTGATAGCATGGACTACATGGGAAAATAATTTTTGGGGTTTAAAAGATTAATCATTCATGAATTTGAAAAAGATGAACTTTGATTTTCATTTTTCTTTGCATTAGCAGCTGTAAATTAATCTTCAAGAGATTTGGACTGTAAAACTGTATCTATTCTCTCCTTGACGACTTTGGCAAAAAAAAAGTGGAAGTTTGTACCTTCCATCATTTGGGCCAAATGGACCAACCACCACTCTTTTTAAACAAACCTTAACAAATTGACATTTTTTCTTACCAGACGAGCAAAGGCAGGAAAAGGAAAATGGCGTCATAAAATTTTAATGCTTGAATTGTAGCGATAGATGAGAATTCACTGCCCACTTTTTGACAAGTTCATATGAGGAAGGAACCGGCTGGTGGCTATCTCTTGAAAGTTTTTAGCTTGATGTAATTTCAATCAAAGATTTATCTTCACATATATTATACATTTGTATCGTATTTGTTTCATGTTAAATAATATATGAAAAATAAAAATTATCATATCATAATTCGTATTAATATAAAAAAAAAACGAATCACTTTTTTTTTATCAACCCATATATCATTTTTATCAAAATTTTAAAATGTTTTTCATTTTTTTTTTCATTTTCATATTGCATCTAAAATTACCAGGTCATTCTTCATACACAATTCTAGTCCTTATTTCAAATGGTGTGAAAGAAGTTAATTTATGATGGTATCATTTCTGAAACTGAAAGAATATTTTTACAACAAAGTAACAAACAGACATCTAGTAGAGAAAAACTGCATTTCCAATTTGACAAAATTTTCTGCAAATATTTTACAAATCAATCGTTTGTGATTGTATGTTAAATACAATACATATTAGAAGGAAAAATACAGTACTGATAAGTAACATGAGCATTTTGAAGCCTTCTATCAACATAAGAAACATGCACTCCTTGATCGTGTGGTGTCCCGGTCTTCAAGACCTTTCAAGAATGACCTAATAGCAAGATGCTCAGAAGCATATGTCATGAAAGATGCTAATATAAGCCCTCCAACCACCATCAGCCCCAATCTGGTGAGAAAATTCGTGGACAATGAAAATTAAATCAGACCAGTTCAAGAATGTTATCAAGGATGTTTTTCAAACATTATATTCAAGGTGTTAACTCTGGAGGCAACGATGACAAACATGTTGGAAAAAATAATGGTAGCAATCTGCAACAATATATTGTCTTCTTTTTCGTTTTTCAGCTACTGGCTTTGCAAAACTTGTTATCTTTCAAAATCACAGGGGAGAAAACAAGAATAAACCAATAGAAATTGCACGAATAGAGGATATTACCTCAAGAAAAGAGCAGTGATCCCAAAAATACATGGTAAGGCTGGGGCAGCAATTGCCAAAAAAGCCATTCCCAACCCATAATACCAAGTAACAATATCACAAGAGGATGCCAGCCGTTGATGACCTGAAAAGAACATAAAAGATTAGTCAACCAATATTAAATTAATACAAAAAGGGAAGTAACATCATATTTTGCATGTTCAATAATTTATGTATCTGTTCCAAGTAAATAAACCTTTTCTTGAATCAGTATTAAAAGAATCCATAGAATCCATACGAGAGGAAACTGATCCCGCTTGAGTTGCTGTTCTCCTTCCCCACTGATAAATCAAATGAAGAAAAGCTCCAAACAAAAGAAAGAAGACTGTAAACGTCCACTCATACATCAAGAGCAAACCAGTCCATGGCATCACTTGCCGAGGCACAATTGAAATAGCAATTCCAAGGGACACCAAAGCAGCCATAAAACATACAAAAACTGAAATTCCACCCAGGTAGGCTGGCACTTTGGTCTGTGCACCATTAGAAAACTGGATAACAGCACAGCAAATGATAGAAGTGAGAAATTAGTAAGTTTACATCAAATTTCAGTAGACAAATAGGGTAACAGGATTTTATGAAACCATAAAGAATTTAGCTTAAAAAATGAAGAGAGTTAACTAACTTGATTGTTTGCGTTAATAGTAGATGATGAAGAAACACCAGTGTAAGCAACTGTTCCACTAGACCTAATTATGTAGTAAAGGTGTCTGATCTGATTGTATAATGAAGTTCTGCAAAGCGAACCCCCTGTCTGCACCAAAATGTAATATGGTTTGGGAACAGGACAGCAATCATTTAGGAATTGACTTCAGAAAAGCAAAATAATCTGTAGCCACTAACCTGAAGGAAAGAACGATAGTAACAAAAAAGTAGAGCACAAAAAGGTAACAGGAAAAGGATTTTGACAAGGAGCTCATCATTTGGATTTTTGCCTCCTCCAGTTCCAGGAAGGGATTCTTCAAGCTGTTCCCTAACATTCTGCAGCATCAGCAAACAAATTACGATGACATTCTACAGAATGATTGGAAATAGATTAGTGCTTTTCATATAAATTTGCCAAGGAGTCTAATAATACCTGCCAGACATCAACTGGTTTTAAGAGCCAAGATGTCCACCAATCCCAAGGTTTAAGGGGGCCAAGTGTATAGTGAATAACACGAAGTTCACTCTCATCTACCATCCACTGCAACAACATTGCATAAAGAGCTAAGGATTTTTAACCAGAAAATAAGAATATAAAATGCAAAAGTAGAACTGTCTCCTTTTTTTGTTTTGTTTTTTTTTTTTTTTTTTTTTGTGTAAGTTTCATCGTGGCATAGCTAAAAAAAAGAGAAGGTCCCAATAACCAAAGAAAAGAACTGAAACAATTCTCATTATCTAAAAACAAGAGAAAGTCTACAAAAGTCTTTCATCACAATGCATAAAATGAGGATTCAAAGAAATGAACGGCAAATTGCCAAAAGGAATTTAAAATCAGTCATTTTTATTATTCAGCATTTTGTAAATCTCATCCATTTGATTAAAAGGCAAAAATAGACGGAAAGGTAGTAGCAACCTGCATGATCATGCTCATCATCATGGTTTAAAATTCATTTTCTTCTTTTCTATTAGAATTATTGTCTGATTGAATCTTGTGATTGGTCTCTTAACCAACCATGTTACTCTTCAAACTCTGATTACAAATGAAAGACTGAACATAAACTATTTTTTGTACTCCTTGAACCATTTTAAAGGCAGTATATATTCCAATCCCTTTACTAACAAAACTAACTTAATTCTTTGGTAATTTTAGTAACATAACCATGTACCACATGAAACAAGACTCACAATCAAACAGAGCATGACATAAAGTTTAAAACATAATGTTATTGTCAATATATGTAGTAGTACCTTGTTGGCAAGCATGTAAAGACCAACATCTGCATTGTATAGAGTAGAGAGTCGCTCCATTTTAGGGACAGGTCGAGATTTCAATACCTCCTGGGGTAGATTAGGGTTAAAAACATGGGCATTTGGGAAATCGGAGTAATAAGAATTCAGAAACCCCTGATCTCCTCCAGTGTAAGAAGGCAAAGTATTCACTTTGCCCATCATGTCATTGAAAACAGCTTCAGAAGGCTCCACTACCATGACTCCAGAATTCAGCCTCTCAGAATGCTTCAAATTGGCGCAGAATTTCTCACATTTAAAGAGATCTTCAATGCTTTTAACTACTACAGTATCTGCATCAAGATATACAACTACAAAAGCAAAATCCAAGTGTGAATCAATGCAATTCACCGGAAAAAACATAAGTACATAAAATTCAAAATCTTGGTTCTAGCCAGCCTATAAAAGATGCAAGAAAAATCTTCTCAAGAAACATATAGAAAACATATTTTCTAGTTTTCTTTTACTCTAAGAAACAAAACATTTCAAAATATGATATGAGCAATCTCTTATGAAAGATATAGGTTAGAGAATTACAAGCTGCCACAAGCAAACTTTTAAATATACATTTAAAAGTTTCCCTTAAAAACTTTAGTTTCAAGGACTTTTATACTTCTAAATTTGATAATTGCTAAGATGGTCTCATGTCATTCACTGACAGAGCATAGAACTTATACGTTGACAGTACATCAAGTATAATATAAAACCCAACTATATTCATCCTTGACCTTACTCATACATTGTCTAACCAACAAAAATTGAACCCCAAAGAAACCAAAAAAGGATTTTACCTTTCTTGTAGTTGGTCATATTAAAAATTTTCAATTTGGTGTAAACACCCCAAAACCTCTTTGGCCTAACTTGATTCGGGTTCGCCAATAAACTTATCTTCTCCACTATCCACCCATCAGCCTGCCCAATTATCCACCAAAGAAAAAAAAGGGGTTAAAACAAATGTCAAAAATTAAAACTTCACTTTTCCTATGTCAAAATAAATAAAACTTTCCTCAATTTTCTCAGTAAACTAACGGAGCATTAATCATCAAGCTCATAACTTGCCATAAATAGAATTGAAAAAATAAAGTGATTTTTAGTTGTTCTTTCGGGAAACATAAATTAACTTTGGGGTTCTTAATTTTCTAAGGAAACTGGAAACAAACAGAAAAGTAAACAGATTGCCAAATTTTACCTTGAGAAGCTTCTTGGCGTAATCAGAGACGCCATCGGAGACCAAAACGACCATGTCTTTAGTTGTTCCAGTGTCCCTTATCGATTTCCCCAAAACCCTAACCCCCAAAAGGAACTCATCTCCGTAAAGCAGCGTCACGTAAGCTTCTTTCGATGAAGATTGAGCTTTAACCCCCAACGCCGCCTTGGATTGGATCGTAATCAAAAGCACCACAAACAGGATCCAGCGTTTTGGGAATTTCATATTATGCAGTTTCTCGAGAAAATGATCCGGATTTTCTCAAGAAAAATTTGTTATTTTTTTATTTATTTACTTTTTTTGGATTGAATTGGTGGGAATTTAAAAGTTGATGAACATGGGGTTTTTGAAGAAGAAGAAGGTTCTTCGTTTTGTTCAGATTTGCGGTGTCGTTTTGACCTTGGACTTTTCTCTTTTGTTTCGTTGTAGTTGCCAACTTGGGCTTGAAAGTGGATGAAGTCTGGAAGAGAATATTCTACCCTTCAGAGCTCAAAGAAAAACTTAAAACTTTTATTTTGTTTAAATTTATTTCCTTTATTTTCTTCTATTTATTTGTAAATTTTATTACCATTATCCAGCTAATAAAAAAAAGAAAAATTTTCAATTATTCAATCGAAAGTTTAAAATTAAAATATTATATGCAGATAGAGTTTTATATAAAAATGGTTAAATAATACATTTTTTAAAAAAAATTAATAATCTTATATATGATCGTAAAACTTCCGGTTTGTAAACATATTTAATTTTTATTTATTTATTTATTTTTAAATTTAATAAATTATTATAAATGATATTTTAATATTAATTAATTAAACAAACAAATCATATATATATATATATATAAATTTATTTTTGATATGTAGAAAATTTTATTTTGTATTTATATATGTAAAAAATTAATTTTTTATTTGTGATAAAAAGATAGAGAAAATAAAATTAAAAAACGAGATTAAGGAAAAGGAGAATGTTAATATGCTTTGAAAAATCTCTACTAGCTTAATTACAGTTGTAATTGACTGCCTTCTACTCACTCACAAAATGATGTCATAATTTATAATTCATATTGAAGGAAAATGATATGAAGTTTCCCCTTAGATGTTCAACAACTGATTCGTTATCTTAAACCGTAGTGCTGGTTTTAAAAGGAGTTTCATCAAAGCTCCCTTATCAAGTGCCGTGACAATCAAGAGGGGCATGATTTTGACGACTCTGAATTCTATGATCATTATAAATAAATTGGGCAAGAGCTGGTTTGCTTTTTTCTCTTATATAGAGATATAAATAATATATTATTACTTATAAATTATTTTAATTTAATTTAGATAAAATTTAAATTCGATTCAAATATTACTTAATCAAATTTAATATTGCTTAATCAAATTCAATATTGAGTTTAAATAATTTAATTTATTAAATGAATCAAATTTAAGTATTTTAATATTTAACTCATCAATTGTAATATTTGAATCCAAATGATAATTAGATTAGACTATTACGAAAGCTCATTAAATTAATTAAAAATTAATTAATAAAAAAAAGTGTTGAAGTATTATATATAAAAAAAAAATCTAACTATAGTGAAATAAAAAGAAAATAAATGTTCTTCTTTCTCATTTTCTTTGAGGTTAGAGAACATAAAAAATCAAGTTAAAAATTTAAAGTCAGATGCTACAATCGAGTTAATCTCCTAATGTTAAGTATATGACATCTTTTTATTTTAAAAAAATATCATATTGATTGCTATTATATAAAGTTAAAGTTTTGAGGAAAAAACAAAAAAAATTTATGAAATCTTTCATTAATCTTCATTATCTATTTGGGTAAATTATTGAGCTTTGTTTATTTCGTGTTCTTAAGATTTATTGATGATTATTGAATGAAGTTTAAGGGCTAAAACTAAGGATTTGAGTTTTTAAAGATTGAAAGAGAAATTATGTTTTTTGATGAGATACTATAATCTACAATAATGAATTAAAATAAAATTCTGTATTAATTGATAGATTATTGTTATGGTTATTATATATCATTGGAAACATGTTGAATCTATTTTCTAATAAAATAAACTTAAGTCAAATCTGAATTTTCTATGAAGAGTTGTTTAATTTTTACTTAAAAAAATGCAAGCTATAATATAGCAATATTATAGTGAAATTACGAAGATTGTTTTAATTTGTATACAAGGAATTATAGATTAAGCCATATATATTTGAAAAGCATATTGAGTCTACTTTCCAACAAAATAAGTGGAATTGAATTTGAAGTTTCATATGAATAAATGTGTAATTTTTATTAGAAGATATACATGTTATCTGACAGCAGCATATGACGTGAATTGCAAAAATTATTATAATTAATCTGCAAGGAATTATGAGGTGGGCCATATATGGTTAGAAAACTTATCAAGTCTAATTTTCTAACTCATTAAAGAGATCTTAATTCTGATTTGGATATATTGAGATATGATCATTTTAATGAAAGAAGATCAGGCTATTAGTGTTAGTTAGTTGAGTTAACTTTTGTTTAATTTAATTATTTTTTGTATCATTGCTCTTGAAATAGGTTGATTAATTTTATTATATTGAAATTATCTTGAATAGGCTATTAATTATTTTGGAAGAAAAACTAAGTAGTGAAATTGAAAATAGATAAATAGAATCCCACACACTTTACTTGTTTTTGAATCTATGTATATATGTATGTTTTTAAATGAAGAAATATTTTATTTCTTTATTTTTGATATATGAAAATAAGATCAAGCATATTATTATTTTGTGTTTTTGCTATGTAAATGATGAATCATGCTCATGAATGAAATGAAAAAATGATTTATGTTTAAAGAATGATTTTATAATGGCTATATTTTTATATCTCTGAAAAATGGGATCATTGATGCCAGAATTAGTTCTACGGTCCTAGCTAACGGGTTATAGTAATTAATATAGACATGATTATACAGCCATGCTAATGGGTTATAGTAGTTAGCGTAAAGCCCTAGCTAGTGGGTTATGATAATTAGCAATGATCATAAGAATGAAATTATCAATATGACCAATGTCAAACATTATAATAGTGCTGTAACTAAATGATAAATGAATGATAATGATGATTTGTGATGAATGATTTTTATAAATTGATCCATGATTTGGGGACATGTTTTGATATTGATTTATGACCTATGAATGCTTGACAAAATGCTGATTTTTGAACTATTTTGACATTATGAGTTAATAAATGTTTTTAGAATGATCTATATAGTACGTATAAAAATGATGTTTGATTCAATAAGGTGTGTGAACCTATACTTATCAAGTTATGGTTTGCTCATTCCTTATTTTTTTTTCTTTTACAGATGATATAAATGATAAGAATGATTAGTCTTGTGAAAAATTAGAAGAATTGAATATTGAAGAACTACTTAGAAATTAAGATTTTATGAAGTATTATTTCTTTTAATTGTAATATTCAACTTTGAACCTTTAGAAATTTGTTATTTAGTTATTTACTTATTGAAAATCTTATTTTAATTGATAATTTTTTAATAGTTATGAATTATGTTCCGTATTACTTTAGAGTTTTACTTCAAAGTAATATGATTGTATTATATTTTGATCTTGAGATGTAACATCAATTTAATCGAGCTTTGTATTTTAATATATTTTATTATCTTATTTTAAAATTATTATTTTATCATATATATATTAATTTGAACTCGAACTTTCCAACATAAATAATAAAATTTAAAATTGAATATAGATATTGAAATTATTTTTTATTTAGTAAACAAATTTAATTAAATAAATTAAAATTATTTTATTTTATTTTAAATTATATTTAAATTTAAAAATTAAAATTTAATCGAATTAGAATTAAATTTCTAACAACAAATTTATCGAATACATCCATCCATACTATAGTGATGACAGGAATATTATTGCAATTCGCTTCTTCATTAGTGCCCCAAGATATGTCCTTATAATGTCTTCGTTGACCCTATCTCGACCACGTAACTTTGACACATCCGCAACAAAAATTTCAGGCCATTTGGGTTGCGTAATAATTTCTCGTCATAAATTAATCCGAACTTACAGTTAGTCTCTAGCAATCTGATCTAGGGATGTAATCGAATCGAGTCGATATAATGAGAAGTTTGAGCTTGAACTCGGCTCTCAATTCGAGGCTCGATATTCAACTCGAATTCGATCGAATTTCATTTTTCTAACTCGAACTCGATTCGTAATCGAAATCGAACTATTCGAACTCGTTCAATTAAGCTCAATTAATATATTAAAATAAGTTCGATTTTTATATTCGATAAGAGTTCGATTATTTGTGTTCGAGCTCGAACTCAAATTCGAGATATTTTATTAATTAAAATAATAAAAAAATTTAAATATAAAAGTTTGATTATGCTAATGAGTTATTTGAACCGGGTATAAAAATACTCAAACTCGGTTCGATCGATAAGTCGAATTATTCGAGCTCGAGCTTAACTCGATAATAATCGAATCGAATTCGAATTTTATTCAAATCAAACCTGAATAATTTATAAGCATTAATATATCATTTATACTTCTAATCTGATCAAGTTTTTCATTGATTTCTTCGAGTGATAACGGTTTGATTTGGCTCGGTGGAAACAGAAATAGCACTGATTTCAACTCGGTCATCTGTTTGCAACTCCTGGACAGCAGTTTCCTAGTCATCTTCCATTGTCATAAGAAACTTCTTTTGAAGCTTCCTAACCAATGTTCCATTGTGAATGTAATATTTTCTTTAACTTCAAAAAAAAAAAAAAAAGATATCAAATATTCCAAACTGAAAATGATGATACTTTTTGGATCAGCATTCCATCACATGGTATAGAAACAGAAGCCATATCTATCAGACAACCACACATCATCTATAAACAAATTTTCATGTAAAAATAGAAAAAAAAAAAAAAAAAAAAAAAAAAAAAAAAAAAAAAACGAATTAGAAAATATTGGGCCAAGCAATTTTAACTCATTCTCTTAAGTCCATATCCACCAGGCTTAGCCTGCCTGGTTCAAAACTCAGCCAGGCAAAGCCTACTTAAAAAATTAACACTGCCAAAAAGATCTTGCTCAATTGGATACTTGAAAAGGAAAAATGTATTAAAACCAAATTCGCCTTGCATTGTAGTATTAGTCAATGTTGAATTTCATCATTATATTTTTTTATTGATTTTTAACAAAAAAATGACTTAATTTGTGAAAATTTTGTCACTTCAATTAATAAATGTTTGTGAAATATTTCAATTTCATTATTTTTAATCCAAAATTAACAAATAATAATAAAATTCAATAAAATTGAAGTATAAAAAATTTTAATATTGAATCACGTTATAATGATAAATTTGATCTTAATATGAAAAAAAAAAAGTACCAAATTCTTTTTCATATGGGTGAAGTATTTTCTCTTAATGATGCAATGATTAAGGAAATTGGCGGCTTTGGCATAAAGCCATGTGGGACTCCTAATCTTTGAACCCCAATTCGGTTTATCAAAATATACACAAATATTCATCAAAAAGATACACAAAAACATGAAAGCACTTTCCATGCATTTCTAATGTGAGAATGTCCCTACAAAAGTAATGGGGAGTTTTGAGTACATTTTTCTCAAGGAATCTGCCCTTTGCACATGGCCTCCAGCCATCTCCACCTTCACTTATGGCTTGCATTATTGCCCTTTCATATATGAACTCAAATTATTAATATTTTCGTTTCATATTGGATCTTATCATTTTTTGTAAACTATAATAATTGCTAGAAGCCAGATGGGTGCATGTGCATACCAATAAAATGGGCTATAATTTTTTTAGATGGAATGGTGTTTGGTGAGCAAAGACAATGGCTGATTTGGTCATCTATGGAAGAACATTTCACTATTGGGACCTACCACCTTCCATTCTCTCTCTCGGAAAGTTCCAAGTTGTCTTTCTTTTTTCTTTTTTTTTTTTCATTTTGCTTTCTTTTAAAAGATTGTTAAACTCTATAGCATGAACATGAAGAGATGCTTTTCTTTTCTGCCAAATTGTTCACAAAAGCAAAAATGAGACTTAATTTGTTTTTTTTTTTTTTTAAGGATTTTGTACTCATAAAGATGTCTGTTCATGAACAAGAAAATGAGAACAACATTAATCAGACAATTCCTCATAACAGTTCATGCTATAAGTCTATACCTCAAAGAGACCAATATGCATCATATTCTCAAAAGAAAAAAAAAATTGGCCAAATAAAAGAAATTAGGTAAGATGATAGCTATTATGGAATCTATTGGCAAATGGGACACCTCAGTTAAAAAATATTCTATAGCCTGTAAGGGAAAAAGAATTATAAATGTCCTTTGGATAGAATATTAAACTGTTATAATTATGGCATAATGATGATAATGATTGTGAGAAATGATGCTTTATCTAGAAGGCTTTCTCCCAAAAAATTACAGTATTTTTCATAGCATATACAGGTGAGGTTATGGAGCTAAAAGAGATACATTCAACCAAGTAAAAGTAATTATCATTATATAATACTATTATGCAAGGACTGTTGGATTGCATCCGTTACGAGTTATTATATATTTCGAAGCCGACCCTCACGATTTTGCCCTTGAAATAGGAAAAAGTTTTCAGAGTAAAAAAAAAATGAATAGAAGTTAGAAATATTTTACCGGTTTATCACCCACTTGGGTTGACTATGATAAATAATTGAAGAAGAAAACATAAACAAGAGTCATTGGAAACACATTCCCTCCATGTTTTAGTGTCTAGGAGATTTGTAATAAGTCCAAAGCTTTACAGTCATTAAGTGCAGATGATTAGCTGGTGTGAATCCCAAGAACCCACGAACTGATATTAAATTAATCAACCATGATCACTAATTATAATCTTAATTATTCTCTTATCTCTTGTATATTAACTTTCTTTGCCACCCTCTTGCTCCTTTATTACACCATAACCAAAGATGCCTTGCTTCTAGGAGGAACAAACTGATCACAAGAGAAGCAAAAATGATGAAATCTCAGTTGCTGTTCTTGTACTGTTGCATTGGTCTCTCCTTTGTTTTTGCTGGGGGAGCTGAAACAATACCTGTGCCAAATGATGAAGCATCAACCTTACTTTTGATGAAAGGTAGTTTTATCGATCCGTTGAAAATGCTCAAAGATTGGAAAATGTCAAGAAATGAGGCTGAAACCAGATCACTTCATTGTAACTGGACTGGAGTTCGGTGCAATTCCAGAGGCTTTATAGAGAAACTTGATCTTTCCAATATGAATCTCAGTGGCATTGTATCAGACCACATTCAAGGTTTGCGCAGCCTCTCTTTCCTCAATCTTTGCAACAACGGATTCGATACATCATTGCCAAAATCGTTTGCCAATCTCACTTCATTGAAGAGCATCGATGTAAGTCAAAACAACTTCATTGGCAACTTCCCAACAGGTCTAGGAATGGCCTCAGGGTTGACTTATGTCAATGCATCAAGCAACAATTTCTCAGGCTTTCTTCCCGAGGATCTTGGCAATGCAACTTCACTTGAGAGCTTAGATTTCAGAGGGAGTTTCTTCGAGGGTACGATTCCTACTTCTTTAAAAAATTTGCAGAAACTGAAGTTTCTTGGCCTTTCAGGCAACAATCTGACTGGAAAGCTTCCAAGAGAGCTGGGACAACTTTCTTCTTTAGAAACTTTCATTCTTGGTTACAATGACTTTGAAGGAGAAATACCAGAAGAATTTGGCAATCTCACCAAACTTCAGTACCTTGATTTGGCAGTTGGCACTCTCAGTGGTCAGATTCCACCTGCATTGGGTAGGCTAAAACAACTGACTACGGTTTATTTGTACAAAAATAATTTCACAGGAAGAATTCCATCAGAGCTTGGCAACATTACTTCACTAGTGTTCTTGGACATTTCCGACAACCAAATTTCAAGAGAGATACCAACAGAGCTAGCAGAGTTGAAGAATTTGCAGCTGTTGAATTTGATGTGCAATCAGTTGAATGGTTCAGTTCCCATTAAGCTCGGAGAATTGACCAAACTAGAGGTACTTGAGCTATGGGAAAATTCTTTGACAGGTCCTTTGCCAATGAATCTTGGACGAAACTCCCCCTTAAAGTGGTTAGATGTGTCATCAAATTCATTATCAGGTGAGATTCCATCAGGTTTATGTGATTCAGTAAATCTCACTAAACTTATCCTCTTCAACAACTCCTTTTCCGGTCCAATACCAGTAGGTCTCTCAACATGTAAGTCACTTGTTCGAGTTCGAGTGCAAAACAATCTAATTTCTGGGACTATTCCTATTGGTTTCGGAAGTCTCCCTATACTTCAACGTCTGGAATTGGCAAAAAACAATCTCACAGGCCAAATTCCAGAAGATATAGCTTTGTCAACATCTCTTTCTTTCATTGATGTTTCTTGGAACCACCTCGAATCAACCCTCCCTTCCAGCATCATTTCCCTTCCTAATCTCCAAACATTCATTGTCTCCCACAACAACTTGACAGGGAAAATTCCTGATCAGTTTCAAGACTGCCCATCATTATCCGTGCTAGATCTCTCAAGCAACCATTTCTTTGGAGAAATTCCGGGGAGTATAGCTTCTTGTGAGAAGCTGGTAAATCTAAACCTTAGAAACAACCAGTTCACTGGAGAAATTCCAAAAGCACTGGCAACAATGCCCACATTAGCCATGCTTGACTTGTCTAATAATTCTATAGTCGGCTTGATACCAGAGAATTTTGGCACCTCACCAGCCATGGAAATGCTTAATCTGTCATACAATAAGCTTGAAGGTCCTGTCCCCTCTAATGGTTTGTTGATGACCATAAATCCTAATGACCTCGCTGGCAATGCTGGTCTTTGTGGTGGCATACTCCCACCATGCTCTCAGAGTCCAATAAAAGCACCAGGGCGGCCAAGGAACATGCACATCAAACATGTTGCTGCTGGATTTATCATTGGAACATTGGTACTATTATCTGTTGGCATAACATTTTGTGCTGGAAGATGGCTATATCAAAAATGGTACTTATGTAACAGCTTCTGCAGTGACATGTTCCAAAAGAGTAACAAAGAATGGCCTTGGAGACTAGTTGCATTTCAAAGGGTTAGTTTTACAAGTAGTGATATACTAGCCTGCATAAAGGAAGCAAACATCATTGGCATGGGAGGAACCGGTATAGTTTACAAGGCTGAAGTTCATCGTCCACGAGCAGTTGCGGCAGTAAAGAAGCTGTGGAGAACAGAAACTGACATTGAAAGCGGTGATGATATATTTGGAGAAGTGAGTCTCCTGGGAAGACTTCGGCACAGAAACATTGTAAGGTTATTGGGTTATGTTCACAATGAAACTGATGTATTGATGGTTTATGAATATATGCCGAATGGGAATCTTGGGACAGCTCTGCACGGTAAACAAGCAGGGAAGCTGTTGGTTGACTGGGTTTCAAGGTATAACATAGCAATTGGTGTTGCACAAGGGCTGAATTATCTCCACCATGACTGTCATCCCCCAATCATCCACCGGGATATTAAGTCTAACAACATTCTGCTTGATGCAAATCTTGAGGCAAGAATTGCAGATTTTGGGCTGGCAAGGATGATGATTCATAAAAATGAAACCGTTTCAATGGTGGCTGGATCATATGGATATATTGCCCCTGGTATGTTTCCATGATTTTGTGGATCAAAGGGTTCTTTTTCTACCTTTTTTCATTCTATAATGCTTTGTTCAAATCTTTCTTTATGACAGAATATGGGTATACTCTGAAGGTCAATGAGAAGACTGACATCTATAGCTTCGGTGTAGTTCTTTTAGAGCTTCTATCTGGGAAAATACCATTAGATCCTTCTTTCGGAGAATCAATCGATATAGTTGAATGGACTCGAATGAAGGTTAAGAAAAGCAGAGGGTTAGAAGAAGTACTAGATCCGAGCATAGCTGGTCAGTGCAAGCATGTCCAAGAAGAGATGCAACTGGTCCTCAGGATTGCACTTCTTTGTACTGCAAAGCTTCCCAAGGATAGACCATCCATGAGAGACATCATTACAATGCTTGGAGAAGCAAAGCCACGAAGGAAAAGTGTCTGTCAAAATGGAGGTCACAATTCTAGCAAAGAGCGTCCTGTCTTTAGCACCTCACCTGTTATAGGTCTTCTGTAGGAATTGTTTTCGGGCTAATGCTTTTCTTTAATTTCTTGTTTACGTAAATTTTCTTGCATAGCAAGGTTCGGTTGCAACCATGCCGGTAACACGGAGATAAATGTTCATATAAAGTCACATCCTAATAAATAAAAGTATCTTAATCTTTTACACACTACATAATAAACTTAATACAAGATAATTATTTCGATTCCTCTGCCTTCCATGACTGCAAACAGATTGCAGTTACAAATATACTTGCATACAAGACTTTCGATTGATAATCAACCGAAATAATATAATTAAAACATTTTATTGACAAGAATGCTAGGCTAATAAATAGCTGAATGAGTACTGACCAAAGTCCAGTAGAATAGATAAACGGTTGAGAAGGAAAAATATGGCTCCTCTTCTCAACTTCCATATCCTATGCTCAAAAGGATGAAAACTTTTTGTACTTTTTGCCTTCAAGGTAAGAATGCCAGAGCTTGCTTATTCTTTTGCTCCTATGCTGCAACATCTAGAAAGGAAGTTCCTAATGCATTCCCTTCATCAAGAAAGCTGCTATACAAGGGCTGGAAAATAATAACAGATAAAGAGATTCAGTCCTTAAACCAAGTTAACATAAATAAGTAAATATTTCTTTTTGGCATCAAAAGCATTCCAATCACAAGGCAGCAGAAAATTTCCATCACAAGTTCTACTAACTAAAAACTTTGTACCACCTAGAATCCCATAGTGTGAGGGTTTGGTTCAACTTTACGTTGAATTTGTCTAGTTATGTTCTAGTTTGTTGGTTGATTTGTTTGTTTGATTATTCAGTGATTTCTTATATCATACTTGATTACAATTGTAACTTGTAATTTCATGAAAACTTAGTACCACCAAAATAATCCTATATGGATAATTGCTTAGAATATACCTCCCTATAATCAAGGTGTGATAAGATAAAAGGCTCCTTCTCTCGAATCCCCCCAGTTTCATTAAAGATTCTTTCCAAATCCTGCAAAAACAATGAGCCAATCATGACAGTGACAGTACATGCAATTCCCGAAAATGTAATGAAACAATAAGAGTCAATCACAATGGTAGGCCAAACTCTTTAAGACATTCTACACTCTCACTAGAGAGGAGAAGAAAACCACCAAACACAATATTTGAACATGACTTCTGAATGCAGGTCCACCTTTTTAGTCATAGCAACACCTTTGCAAGCCAACATAGGAGACAGGGATCACAGAAGACTGTAAGTTACCTCCACAAGTTCAAATGTCAACTAATTGGCTATTACTAATTTTCCAACTATGACATGGCAACATAACCAGAAGGCAACTTCAACAGAGCCTTAATACAATCACACCGACATTCCCTTACATTTCAAGTTCCTTGTAAGTTTATAAATGTGTTATTGTAAGCGGTCATCATAAAAGACAAAAACCAAATTCAGAAAGAATTCTAGGATAGTTAATTTAAATAATTTAAACCTGACAGCTTTACCTTCCCAGTCAACATTTCAAACTCAAGCAACTCTTCCACAATCTTTTCAAGAACTTGACGATTTTTCTTAAGCATTTCCTTTGCCTTTTCATATGCTAAATCATAAATCTACACAAATAACAAGCATCAGTTATAGAGATTCAAGAACCAATGTCATTGCCAAAATCACAGTAACTATATAGTAAATCGACCTCCTATAGCTCTATCAAGAATCATACAATTAAACGAATTAAATTTGCACTGTAACAACTTTGACATATACCTTTTCAACTTTAGTTGCCAACTCAAACTCATGATTGTTCCCGATGCTCAAAGCTGTAACCTATATCAATGAATCAAAAGTCCAACATAAACAATCTATTCTGGCCAAAAGAAGAATTACATATTACTAAGGTAACAACACCAGCAATCATTTAATCACATTGAGAATAATAAAGTGGATACTTTTTAAGCTTTAAATGGTTGTTAGGAAGTAAGAATTAACTACATGGACAAACGCTAGAAAGCATGAAAACAGCCATTGTCCAAGTGTGCATCCATGACCTATGAGCGATTGCATCAGATATTAACATAACATACTATTCCAGAATTTCAACATGATCCAGGTGCAATTGTTTCAGTATTTGGATCAATAAAGAAAAGAGAGTACCGCTTTACGACTACAGTAAATCGCAGGACTGTCATCAGGCCCCCATCCATACTGAATCACCATCCTTGTAGCTATCTGTTGCAACTTTCACATGAGTAACCCGGCAACAAATAGTTAAAATGAAAATTATTTCAGTTCTCCTAAGCCTTAATAAAGTTAATATGCTCCGATACATGAAACAGTCAAACAGCATTATATCAACCTCCTGAGCCTGCTTTAGTTCTGATGCAGAAAGAAAATTTTCTTCTCCAAAAGGTAGTAGCAATTGGGCTGCAATATATGATCCAAAGCAGAATACAAGCTTTTTTTCAAGGTAAGACCTCAATTCTTCATTGCCATACATAGTCGCTTCATTCCTTGCCTTGGTAATCTTCGTGCACCCAATTCCCTGAAGAATGGTGACAGTATATTAGTTTTCCTATATTCATTCTTCCCCCAAAACAGGTTTATTACTGTCATTTGTTGCCAATAGAATATGCAAGAGTAATAAATTCGCATATTCCGCATACAAAAAGCACTGCAACTTTGATAAATACAAAAGAGTTCAAATAAAAAGATAAGCTGACAAACAATCCCAAAATAACTAGCCGTGCCTCCATACAACCTTCATGTGATTCACTGGTTCCTGATCCATCTTCATTGCATTGTATCATCTTTACACATGCAGAATAAAGAACCACCATTAACTTATGGCCTTAACAGTAGCACTTCAATCATTTGATGGGCATCACCCTCTTCCTTTCTAAGAAGAATGATGTTTTGTTTCTCATGTGTGATTCAAATTTGGCAGATGTCTCATACAGCTTATTATGCACTCAGACTCCCCCTATGACCACTTTTTGTCATCTACTTAATTGATGATGGATGCTCCCCCACAGCAGATGCAAGACAGAATAAAGTGGAGAAGGGGAATATGGTGTGACACCAATAATACACATTGAGCAAGTTCAAAATTTATGTTGGGATACATAGTTGTTGATAGAACATAATACTGCTATTGGTTTTACAAAAATGGTAGCAAGAACATTTTTGTCTTCGGCTATCAACATTCAACAACTAGATAACAGGAATTAACATTTAACAGACTAAAAAAAAGGCAAAACTCAAGAAAGCACTAGCAGCCCACTTGCAGGTTTGAAATAAGCATTGAAGCATAAAAGTAGCACCATAGCCCTATAACACTTATAAACCATAGTTCAGAAATGTAATTTGAAGATATGAAAATTGCTAACCTTCCATGAACAAGGCTCAAGCCATAGATTATCCACAACATCAAAATTTGGTAGAAGTAGTGTGATGAGACCACGGCCAGCAGCCCAAACAGCATGTGGGAACTTAGTCTCCCTTGTCCACTGCAAATAATCACACTGAATTAATCAAACTTTCATAACAGAAGCAAGCCAATAATTTCTACATCATTGTGATATATGAGTACAAAAGATTAACAAAAACATTTATCCCCTCAAACTATCAGAGGATACCATCCATATAACATTTTATGAGTACAAGCTATGTCATACGCATTTTTCACCGCTTAGAAACTTAAGTGCAATCCAACCTTGTGTGGGAAAACACTTATTTACAACTGGTTATAATCTTGTAATCTGTATATTTATATTTGTATCTTTAGAATTACATATTTGTATCCCTAAAATTAAGGACAAAATATTAGAATAAACAATCCCTCAATTATAGAATCAGTTTTAGAAAGATTTAGTTTCCTAGTTTACCCAATAGTTAGTTGTATATAAACCTAAAGTACTTGTATAATTCTTTACGAGCAGTTTTTCAATATACATTCAGTTTTACCCTTAGTTTTCCACACAGTTTTATTTCTTAGTTTTTCCACACCTTGCAATTCCATTAATCACAAAGTTTATTCAGCAACCACTTTAATTGGCACTATAAAATTTGAGATTCACAGACTAGCCCCAGAAATCAATTTTCAGTCAAAAGAAGAAACTAGCAGCACATTATTAAGAAGAAATTATAGCAATGGAGTTGAATGTTTAAATGAGAAGCAAGTTAGTTACTGACATCAAAGGGAGGATTTAGGAGTTCTATTCCATTGCTTATCTGACCATATGGCTCCATTAGATCAACCACATTCTGCAGATCCTCTTTGGTCAATGTTAGTCCAAGGTGATTCACCAGCATTTGGCTAATTTGCTTGACAATTTTGGTTTTCCGCACCCCTTCTGGAATCATGCCACTGAAAGTCTGCAAAAAGCAGTAGGAATTTGACCTATATCATTTGCTTAAAATTATTTAATAAGCAAAACATGAATTTACCACTATTTAAGATAGATTACTTATATATGAAATTCAAAGGGGAAACAGGTAAAGTGTCGAGGAAAAACACTTAAATAACAGATTCTTCAAATTTCAAGAAGAATGAAACAGGTCCATTAACACGATTATATGAACCTGGCAAAGCACTAACATCCACAACATAAGGTCTTTGTAAGAGAATAAATAAGGGCAACATAAATATTATAGATGCTGCAGTACTAAACCATATCCCGATACCATAAAATACCAATATGAGTCTTCTTACCGCAAACCAACTACAGTAGCTCATAAGTTCATCCCTATCAAGAAACTTGCTCCTAAATGCACTGCCTTCCAAGGCCACAGGAACAAGTTTAAGTTCTGTAGGCCGCAAAAAAGCAGTCTTCTCAGCAACCTAAAGGGATAGAAGCATCATGAATTAAGAGTATATTAGTAGACAGTCAGAACTTAAATTTAAAATAAAAACCATTATTAGCAATTCAACAAGCAAACACATGCAGACAGGAGAACAAGAGAGATTAGTAAGCACTGAAAGTTAAAAGATTCATCTAACAAAAGTAATTCACAAATAAGAATAGCAATAGGCCATTTAGGTGAGAAAAGGTAATATGAAGCATGATAATGATATAACAGGTTAAACACATGCATGTGCTTGCAAATAGAATTTAAAGCAAAGAAGGTTATAAATTACCTTTTTCCAGTCTACCAGATTAATAAGCTCCTCAGCCATGGTTTCTTTTGCAGCAATCTGTAGTATCCTCTCCCTTTCTGCTTCAGTTGGCCTTTGAAGATGAAATACTCTGTCCATTCGACCAGGCCGTTTTAAGGCCTTATCAATTTGCTTGATATTTCTCGTAGTAGCCATCAAAACAACCCCATCTTGTTTCTCAAACCTGCAAAAAGTTCAAAGTACTTTAGGAAAATAGAAAGATGTCAACCTGTCCACTTTTGTTAATAAAGACTTTAAATGGTAGTGAAATTACATTAAACCTTTAAGGACAAAAAAGAAAATATCAATTCTAAAAGGTGAGAGTAGATGATCATAAAAGCAGGCGGCTAGGCCAATTATTTGAAGCTTCCAACAGAAGTAAAGAACCTCAGCAAATTCAGACAACCAGGCCTTCCATAAGAAAAAAAGGTGTCCTTATAGAAAGCTCCAAATTTTACATTCAATGACAGCTGCCTTCCAACAGATACACTGCTAGGAATAACTTAAAGTTGAAATGATCAAATTACTAAAGCTGTTAGGCTAATAGAATCTGCAGTCAGTTATAATGAGCAAGTTATATATCTCATGAACAATATTCATTAATGTATGTAGAGGAATTTTAGTGCCTGTGAACTACATGAACAAAAGGGAGACTTAGAATTACCCATCAAGTTCCACAAGAAGTTGATTGATGAAGGCCTCATGGTCCTGCTGTTTTGTGTGAATAAATCTTCCACGAACACCAGCAAAGAGGTCAAAATCCTCCACAAATATAATTACAGGTGCCTAGAAAAGGGCATTAGAAAAGTCAGCAAAGATTGGACAATATATGATTAAAAAATGTATAGTCCTTTCAAGGATAACAAATTCAAGAAACCATACAGACACCACAACTAAAACATTAGTTTTCAGAAAAATGAAAAACACTTTGTCAAGAACCAACACTCTATTAGTTAAGAAAACTACAGTATGGATTTGTGATGCAAAAGAATGTTTCCTTACATCTATAAGATATTAACAGAAATAGTATAAAACTAGAAAGCTGAAAATATAACGGAAAACAAATTCCAAAATCAAAATCACTTCATTTTGAAAACATAATTAAATGGTTTGGTCATGTCAAACAGCTTAAGGACTAACAAGGAGCAAAGACACATTTATTGCAGGACTGAAGCAGTAGGAAAAATTTTGAATGTAAAAGCTTGAGTTCAAATTAAGTTGAATAGAGTAAAACATTGATATTAGCAAGTTGACCCAAGTTTATAGAAGAAACAGATGCAGATCAAAGGAAGATTGGAAACAAATGAACAAAGAAAACACCAACATCATATCACATCTATAACTTACAAGTCTATTCTTGAGAAAAAAGGTATAGAAGAACATAGAATGGCATAATTATACTACTTTTATATCTTTCACCCACATTTCAGTCTGGACAGTTAGACCTAGAATCTGAGCCATATTGTACTTACTGATAGAAAGTATTTAATTTCTAGCAATTAAGCAAAAAAATGAAAATCAACAGTGAGGCACATAGAGGACTACCAAATCCCTGGCTGTCTGAAAAAGTTCCCTAACATTTGATGCACTTTGGCCAACCCACAGCCCAGCCTCCAATTGTTGGGCTTCAACATTAACAACTGGCACCCTTGCCTCGGCAGCTATGGCTAGTGCAAGAGATGTTTTTCCAGTTCCTCTCTCTCCAACAATAAGAACTCCCTGCAATGTAACAACAAATTAAACTGACCTTGGCCACACCACATTAGACATTGATATCTATTTCCTCCAGTGAAGGATCTGTTACAGTGCACAACTAATTTACATGCTCATGTTAAGAAGCATTGCCTTTAAAATGCAACTTCTTTACAGTTGAATAATTCAAAACTGTTTCAAATCCCATTATCCACCTCAGAAAAAGTTATATATTACAGGGCAGATATTAGATTCATCACATGGATCTCGTGAAACTTTTGCCATCTGAATGATACTCTTCCATAAAATTTGAGAAACTGCTGAAACCATCCAAGTATAAACAGACTCTGCAAATGACTGTGTAATCAGTATTGTTGCAGAAAAGCCCCCATTACAAATTTAGAACATGAGAACCAAAAAGGAATATTACCCATTTACGGGTTGTAATAATCTCCTGAAATCAAAAGAACCCTGAAAAGCAGGAAAGACCTACAACATCATCCTCCTCCCCTCTGTCTGTGAAGAGGAGATGGCAATATCAAGACCACCATTCTCATTGCAATATTTATTATTCCTGCCCTATGTGCTCTTCCATATATTGAATGTTAAAACCATCCAATTTTTTTTCTTTTGAGATCGAACCACACTTTCATTTTAAGCATCAAACACAAGAGTTAAAAAATGGTTAAGACAATTGCCACATCCAAAATGATGCATAAATAAAAGAGACTAATAAAAATATGGCAGGATATGTGTCATTTTCAGAATAACATACCCGAGGGGCACAGGCACCCATTTCTTGGAATGCACCAGGATTCTGTAGAAATGCAACTACTTCATTGATTTCCTCTCTCATAGACTCAATGCTAGCAAAATCTTTCAATGGGATTGGAGGATTTTTCACCCTCTGCATGCCAACCATAAACTTAAAAATCATCTCATAGAAAACTTCAATAATTGATTAGAGAATTTTTTTCAGTGTTAGAATTGAACCTTCATTCCATCAAAAGCAGTTTTAATGGGATCAATGCCAGCCTTTTTCTTACGTTTCATTCTCCTCAACCTATAATTAAAATAGCCTTTCTGCAAGTTAACATATAACAGTTGTAAATCCAGTCAGCTGCACCTCAAAAAGTCCATTGGAGAGAAGATCTATGACTAAACAAAGCTATGAGAAAACCACTAACAAAACACCATTATATGTAACTTAAAACTCTTAAAAAAGCTGTAGATATAAAAATCAAAAGTAGGAATAGTGTAAAATGACAGCATTAAGAAAAAGGAAGGAAATAATACCACTCTCCGCAGTTTTCTCATGTTTGGATCTTTACGTATAGGTCCATAGCCAAGAACTTTTGGAACTTTTCTTCTAAGGAAGCGAAATGCATGATACAAAATAAATCCATAGATAGTGCTTCCAATGAGAAACCAAAGAAACCATTTAGAGTCATCTGTCTTTCTATAGTAGAGATTCATTTCTGCTTCAGCTTGCCATCTTATATACCATGTTGAGATTGTTTGTGCTATTTCCGTTGGCCATGTCATCCCCAACTGCATCATCACCTGTAACCATGGCAACACAGAACTTGCTGAAAAACATAAGCAAAAAATAAATTAGAAACTAGTTTCTGGAGCTGCATGAATGCAATAACAAAATTCATACCAGGTAAGGAAAGATAGAATCAATGAGTGGAAACACAATAGAATCAATGAGTGGAAACACAACAACCGCCATTATATCATCATTTATAGTTTTAAATTTCTGATAAACCCAATCTTTTCCCAATGCTACATATTTTGTCTTCCATAACCCAGTTAAGCATTGATGAGCCAGCCTTGTTGTCAAGAGAAATTGTTGACAAAAATTCAACTCTGAGAAAGGGATATACATCAATTGAACAGCAGCTGGGATACCACAAGCAAGCATTTTCAGGTATAGCCCATCAAACCCTCCAGAATTCTCATACAGCATGTCAAATTCCTAGAGTCAAAAAAAAAGAGGAAAAAGGAAACCCTTCAATAAGAACCATATGAACAAGCTCATGGAGTCATTAGAAAGGATTTTACACTCACGTAACCTTGATGTCAACAAAATATTCCTTGTCATCCCCTTTCAGTGCAATATACATCATTGCCCAGTCATGCCTGATTCGAGCATGCTCTACTAACTTCTTAGACACTGCATAAGGAACAGCCATTGGATCCATTTCCCACCTGCTTCTCTCTTCATTGTACCAAGTCTTTGCAACCACTCTATCTCGATCTAAAAGAATCCGTTCCTGCAATAAACATTTTGTACATTAGCAACAAAATAAACAAACAGATAGAAGTTTATGAATAGAGCCATGTAAAATACTTGTGGTTAATCACATCAATCCAACTCATAGCTTTTCCCAATCAATAAGAAAATAGTCTCATGATAATAGGTCATTTTTTTATCTATGGAAAATAAGTCTTATGATATCTAAGGATTACATATACACCTTCCACGTCAATGACCTTCATGATCTGAAGGATGAAGTAATAGAACTGTTATAATAGCAACATATGCATCCTCCCCTTATTACTTTCTAAAATGAGTGTAAAATTAAAAAAATATCTCCACAAAAAGAACTACCTGTCAAGAAAAATGCTACCTGTCTTTGAGCTACATAATGTTTGCCAAATTCAGCATCTTCCAGCAAGTGTCTTTTTAGGTTTGCTTTATCTTCTTCACACCACCTCTTCCAACCATGGTACAAATGTAGACTAATGGCTTTAGGAACAACAACCTCCTTCTCTCCAAACATCCGCTTCAATTCAACTTCTGGAAATCCCTTCACAACTTCATCCTCAGCAGTTTTTACAACAAAACGCTTTTCACTGCCAAATTTTTTCATCCTTCTTCTTATGCCAGACTCCAGATTCCTCTGCATCTCCCTAGAATCTTTAAGACATTGTTTTATACGTAAAGCAAAATCCACTGAATCTTGATTAAAGAATGGTCCAAGATCTTCAACCTCCACAACACTAGGCAATAACATCTGCTCAAAGTGTTTTCTTTTTGCTGTTTCAAGTTCATCTCGAATTTCAGACCTCGAAAGATTGGTAATAGAGCTTTTCTGTGGACTGCAACCACAAGAATGCTTTAAATAAGGAGATGACAATACACTCATGTACTCATGTAAATTATGCAACCACTTGGAAAGACTAAACTCATCTGTATATCAAGTCAGCATCATGACCAAGTATGCCAAAATTTTAAAAGTAATACACATCATCAGTCAAAATTGCTTGCAACCATCAATATCACATCTCAGAGATTAGAAGCGGAATTATACATTCAAGCAAAAATGAATGAAAGCTAGGCACAAAAAAACTCCTGTGCTGAGCAAGGAAAACTACAAACAAAATGGAATAACAACAGCAACGCTATTTGCTAATTGCCAGAAGAAGAAAAGACACGGTTAGATAACCAAATAATTGCACCTAAACTAGGTAATGGTATAATTTGAAGAATGCAAAGTCTAGTCCACAAAATGAAGCATGAAGAAAAGGAGAACAAAAGAAACAAGGAGACAAACCATACGAGCAGATAAAGTCATAACATGCCAAACGTATAAATTACAGAACACACTGAAATGCTAAAATTTACTCAAGCAAAATTCAGATCAAGCTCCAATAAACCAAAATCCAAACATATAAATATAAAATAAAAACATAGAAAAGTTTACCTCTGGAAATGCCCCTTCCTACTCATTTCGCTATTAAACCTTTTCACCAACTCCACACACTCCCTCTCAATAAAACAAAGCTCCCTCACACCAATGCTCAATGTTGTGGTCTCTCTCCTTAAAATCTCATCCTCAATCTCCCCAATTCTCTCCCACATCCCATTATACTCCTCCTCTTCCAACTTCTCCACTATATCCTTCCCCTTTCCCTTTCCCTTCCCCCCTCTCCCACTGACAACCTTCCCCTTCTTTTTCCCCACTTTCGCCACCTCATCCACAGCCCTTTTCTCTAACTCCGCTTTCTGCTTCTTCAACTCCATTAATTGCCCATGCAAGCCTCTCATTATCTCCCCTTGCAACTCCTCTTTCTTCACCTTCACAGCTTTTAACACTTCTCCAACTTCCTTAACGTCACCATTTCCACTCCTAACCCCCTCTACCCTCCTCAACAACCTCGAAACCACCTCTAACAACCTCCTTGTATAATCCGAAAACTCATGCTCATTTCTCCTCAAAGTCCCCTTCTTTTCTGCTTCTTTTTTCCTCACTCTCACTTTTTCTACTATTGCAGCCATTGCCACACCTTTGAACTCCCCATTTGGACTCAAATTTGATAACCCAATTGCAAAACAAAGCAAAGTGAAAGCTAAATTCTTAACCAAACATTGAAACGAAAAATACCCAGACGAGATTTTGGCTTCTTCTTCCCAAGGTTCCCTTCTCGGTAGTATCAAAATTTTATTCTTTACGGGTTTGGAGCTTTGGGAGGTTCCTCGGAAGGTAAAAGCTTTAAAATTGAGCTTAATGGGGAGAGTTTCTATGGGTTTTTTAGTAAATTTATTGGTTCTGATAAGGTGCCTTGTTCTGAAATTGAGTGGGGAGAGTTGAGAGTGGCATAGTGAAGTGAAGATAGAGGCCATTGGGAGAGTGAAGATATGGTGAAAAGCTAAGGGGAGGGTGTTATTGATAAGATGATGGAAATTTGGGGGTCATTTTGAAATGTTGGGAAACATTTTAGGTTACTTTTGGAGAGAGAAAAGTTGGAAGCCTGCAACAATGAGGGAGAAGTGAATTTCAGAGTCGGAGGTTTATGGAGGGATTTAAAGAGGAAAATCGAAGAACCGGATAAACCAATGTTGTTGAGTTTTTTCTCCAACCAAAGCACTCTTTAATCTTATTTATTAGGTTAGGGTAGTTTCAAACTTAATTCTTAAAATGAGGTATTTTGTATGTGTGGACTGCACGTCAGATAAAAATAAAATATTTAATTAATTATAATTTACCAAAAATTCAATTATAAATGGCGTGCTCTTCTTCTGCATTATACAGCAACTAACAGAAAACAATCTTTAGGAACTTTAAAGAAAAATGAAAGGAATTAGAAATCTCACCGTCCTTAAGCTTTAAACACTAAATCAAGGTGGGGCAGGAAGCTAGATTGGTCGAGGATGAAATCAAGGAAAATGGGGGAATTAAAACCCAGCTAATGACGATGCACATCCTACTCTTGAATTAGACGGGGTATTAGCAAGCCAACGGCAGCTAAACCGGGTTCTTTGGACCCAATTTACTCTTACCGCTTCAAAACCATAAAACTTTGGTGGATTGGTTTCTTCGACATCAGTTAGTTTACGGAAAAAACTGAAAAAAAAAAAAAATTGATCCATAATCATAATATTTAGTTGGATTTGAATGATTTTTTTATTTGATTTGAATAAATTTTAAAATATTAAATATATATTAAATTTGAGTTGAATTTGAAATTATGATGTAAAAAAATTGAAAAAATTAAATGAAATTATATATTTTTATTAATTTATATATTTTTTAAAATTTTATAAAATAAAAATTATTATTTTATATATAAATTTATTTAAACATATTTAAAATCCTAATAAATATATATATATAAAACAAACAAAATTTAAAAATCGATGAACTTAATTGAACAAGTAAAATTTGATTTTGATAAACTCAATTAAAAAAAAGTTCAGTTTAAATTTAAATTAAATTTTAAAAATTTATAATATTATGCATTATTAAAAAAAAAAACCTAATTGATTTTGTTTTTGTTAGATAGTAGGCAAGATTTAGGTTTTGGGATATTGTCATGTGAATTTATATGGCATAAATTTTTGAAGAGTGCAAGATTTATGGTCACATGTTCACATATTAATTATAGCATGCAGATTGTGAATAGAAAATTGAGCAATTTAAAAAAAAAAAAAAAAGAGGGATGCATGTTAAAAAAATCAAGAAGATTCTTTTTATTTTTTTAAGGACAGAAGAAGTAGGTTTTATTAATTTAAACTTTGTTGATTAAACTATTCTTAACTGAAGTTTGTTATATAAAGTTGCATGGGTATGCATAATTTACAAGTTTGGATTTTGCTTAAAGCTGGAAACCTAGAAATCTATTATTAAAAGAATAAGGTAATGGATAAAATTACTAGCATTTTATGATCGGTGAAAAAAAAAAAAAAAAAAACCAAGCTGGTAGCCAACTTTCAAAAGCTGGTAGCATCGTTGTCGATTTTTAAAAACTGGTAGCATTAGGAGGTATTGATTTTATATTTGTGAATTGCCAATTTTAGAAATTAGAGTACTTAATATTATTTCAGAAATCGTTTTGTGTTCATATTTATGTTTTTTCTTTTAAATCAATGTCTTGATCGTCGGCAAAGAAGAAAAAAGAGATATATAATCTCAATTTTATCAGGTAGGGAGTTAGAGAAGGGAGGAGTTCGAGGAAAAAAGTAACGTGTATGTTGACGTGAAATCTAGTTGTACAATATCACTTGGTTTTTGGAATAAAATTTAATAATACTTCATTTAAGAAAATAAGATTACAAAGTATTATAGTTTAGGAAAAAATTCTAATGTAGTTATATGATATGTTCGATTTGAATTGAACTGGGTTGTGATTAACCGATTTATGATTTTTTTTTGAATGAATTGATTTTTAAATCCTTGATGTGATTTTTACAATTTAGGCTTTGGACGTAGGCCCAAACTCATTAATCCCCTGTTAAAAATATTATTAATAAATATTTAATATCAGGTAAAAATCTTATCGATCTCTTAAATCCAAGTAATCAATCATTTGTTTAGGGTGATCGATCCCTTTTGTATATGAAAAAACTAATTTTTACTTTTAAGTAAAAATAAGATCGATCTCTTTATTAATAGGATCAATTTAATCATCTTAAAAACCTAACAAATCGATCCATATAGAGAGGGAATCGATTGATTCTTGAAAACTTTACAAGGGTGAATTTTTTGGCTAAAAAATAGATTGATCTCTTGAATCAGAGGATTGATCAAGTCAAATGAGGGGATCGATCTCTTCCCCTAAGTGATTAATCCTTTTTATCCCATTTTGCCCAAATCCATTTTTGATTCAAATGTTGAGTTTTGTTTTGGTTCAAAAACATTTTTGACAGGATAAATGACTGAAAAAATATTCAATTTCAATAAATTAATGTGGTTCAAGTTAAACAAAGTTTTGTTTTGTTATTTCAAAATACATTGATCAATTCAAAAATAATAATCTCTCCCTTTTTTATATGACAAAACCAAATGAAAAAAATTTGCTTTCAAAAACATTTTTCCTTTTGCAAATAAGCTCCCCTTAAATTTTAAGCATAAAAATTTTTAACAAACTACGAACAAGTATCTCTATCTATTTATTGTTAGTACCATAAGCACAATATCAAAAGCATTAATAGATAAAGGTGATATCAAGATATTCATTTAAGCATAGATTTAAAAATTGCTCCCCTTACATTAAGCATTCAATCCAAGTAATTTTTCTTCCCTTATTAACAAATGCAATAGAATAGCTTCAATTTAAGCAAATAAACAAATTTCATACCTTCCCCCCCATTTTACAAAACCATTTCCAACTTTTAGCAAATTTTTCATTTTCATTACTTCTTCTCATTTTTATCATAACAAAAAAAAACAATCAAAGTAATATGGCAATCAATTCGAGGCAACAATATAACAATTTATGCTTAATATATTCTTAAATCGAACCAACTCACTCCTACATAGCAATGCCTTAGCAAATCAATCACAATATCAATACCACACAACAACAATTATAAACTAACATCAACACAATATACCAAATGCCATTAAAGAAATGAAATGCATATGTCATTAATAAAAAATGAGAAGTTCCAAAGTTTAAACCATAATGTATCTTGTCTTTAAGAAAATTAAAAGCTTAAAAAGATAGATATGTAGGGAAAACATCTATGGCATGGCATTAAGGATGGGTCATAGTGGAGGAGAATAAGGTGGGAAATGCAAGAAATGCTACTCCATTCTGTCTTGTATATTCCACATTTGCCAAATTTATTCTTCCATGCCATCAAGCCTATCATTTAAGTTCCCAACCATAAAGTGTAAGCTGTTCATCTAAGCCATGAGAACTTGTAAAGCACATTGGGTGTCAAATTATGGACTAGAAGGGCCTTATTGAAGAACATCTTGAGCATTATGCTCTTCTTCTTGCTCAACCCCAATTTCATTCTTTTTAACCCACAAACCAACAACATTTTGTGTATAATCCATGCTATGCAAAATGTGAACTTCATTACTATTGAATGGGTCATTAAACATAATTTCTCTATCACTCCTAGTATTGATACCCAACTTTTTCAATAAATTGCTTATAGCAAACCCATAGACTAAAGTGTAATCTCTATTTTCCACCACCCTCATCATGTCATTAAATATAAAGTACATAAGATTAGGTTTCTCTTAATGTTTGATCTTGTACATCCACTAATAATCTTGTTTCCTAATAGTTAAGTATTGGGTACCAAATGGTGTCAAACCATTGGTAACTATAAGATGCAACAATTTATCATGCATAGGTAGTTTAATGGCTTATGTAGGAGCAACTCTTAGATTCTCATTACTAAAGATATCTTGAGCTAAGTCTAGCATATCACACATAGTGTTTGTGTTCTCTTCATCATCTAGCATAAATGTTTTAGCCAATAATTGCTTATTCACCACAAACTCCCTGCGCATCACAAAAGTTCTAAACCTATCAAGATAATATCTATTGTCATTCCTTTCAATCTAAATACATATAGCATTGCTATAGAATACCTTAACTAGATTTTCATAAACTATTCCATCCATACACATAATTCATCCGACCAAATTGCTTAAATACATACAGATAAAAAAATTTAATAAAATAGAGAAATTCAAGAAATATTACCCTTCCATGCTTAACCTCCTTATGATCAAAATTTATTTTATACTTTTCATTAATAGTAAGATTCTCAAAGTTCTAATTGGATGAAGGCTTAATTGATAAACTTGAAGCCTCGCTTGGTGAATTCCATCTATGACTAACATTCTTTTTGGTTTTAGGTGCCATAGGATTTTTGGTTATGAGAAAATAAATGAGCTTTGATGAAATTGATGAATAAAATTTAACAATGTAGATGAAAGGGATAGATATAAGTTTGTGAGGAGCAATGATATTGAATGAAAAAGTGGCTTTTAAAAAGGGATCAAAAACTTAAAGAAAAAAAAATGAGTAAATTTTTGTGAGATTTTGGTATGATTTTAATGAAAATAGTTGAAGATTTTGCAATAAAATAAGGAATAAAGATAATTTTTTTCAAAGAATTTTGACAGAATAATGTAAGTTTTGGGAGAATTTGTAAGAGGGAAAAATTAGGGTTTGAAAAAAAAGTTTGGGGAAAATGAAGAATGAATAAGATTGATTGTTGAGGAAAAAAGAAAACCAAAAAATTTGAGGCGTTTTGCAATCTACCAGCCTACCTGATCGATCTATTCATGTTATTCCCAAACTTCTTTTAGCTACTAAAAGAAAAACCAATCAATCGGGTCCCTATACAGGATCGATTAGTTTATCATGTAACATTTTTTTAATGAATTTTGAAAATAATTTTTCCAATGAATGTATGTAAGATGATCATTCAAAAATGCAACAATTTACCTCAAATATAACCATAAACAAATCATCAAAAATATATCCAAATAAAAACACATATATTCAAGCACAACCGTAAATATATTAAAAATTTCATTTCATAGAGCATTCTTCATTCCAAGTTCACCTTTAATT